CACACCGCCGCCCCCCCCCCCCCCCCGCAACCACCACCACACCCGCTCCCTCCACTAACATATCCTTGACCTCGCTAACTAACAGGATTAGCCTCATGCGCCATGATCCACTGAGCCAATGAGAAAACACAGCGTTGAGCCAAAGGTGGACTCACGTGACATGTGATGTCGCGCCCGGCCGGCAACAGGGCCTCGGGACACGTGTGTGTATGTGTATGGTGTCCTCACAAGGAAAGCTTACGGCGTGTTGCTTTGCAGCATGACGACGCGAGTCATTTCAACGCCACTTTGGAGCGTCGTTTCCATGAGATGGAGGCGCACTACGCCGAGGCCACCAGCCTGCTGCATCTACAGGGAACGCTCATTCTTAACCTGCAGGTATCTAAACTCAAAATGTATGCAACAGATCGGCTGTTATCGAGCGTGCGGCTGCTTTTAGAGTGCCTCATTGTTGACCTGGAGTGCATGTATGTTACACAGATGGGAATGAAAGGCGTAAGTAAGCGTTGTTGTTTTTTTTTTCAGTCTTATGTGACAGCAAACGTGTGGACCAGGATTTGCACTGGTGTGGCCACTTTAGAGTGCCTCATTGTCATGACGTGGAAAAGTCATTTGACAGTTTTTTTTTTTTTTTAATTTACAAAACATTTATTTTCACTTGACAGGACAGGTATCAATATGTCCTAGAATTTTTGACATTGTATCCTTTTTGTTTTGTTGGACAACTCTTATCGTATCTACGTATTCAGAAAGTCATTTCTCTGACACTCGCGTCACCTTTTAGAACCAAGTTCACAACCTCAGCCGATTATTGGAGGTGGTGAAGAAGAATCCCGGGTGTTTGATCAACATCGTCCGACCCAACTCTCTCATGAGTACCCAGCAGGCATTGCACCCGGGTTCGCTCCGTCTTTCTGAAAACTACAACCGTCTTCCAGCAGAGGGTGCCTCATACTCACTGAGTTGCTATATCTGGCTTCCCGTAGAGATTCATCACATGAGGAACTGTCCCATCGACTGCGCCTCCATCTACTACAACGGAGTGAGGAGGTCAGGCGTCTACACTGTGGTGCCGTCGCTCGCGGGCATGCCGGTGGAGGTCTACTGCGATATGGACACTGACGGTGAGTCGCAAATCTGTCCACTTGGGCGTCGTAAAATTCAATCTGTTGGACAATTTGAACGGGGCGCCTCTTAATACTACCGCTGTCGTGTCACGATTTTAGAAGGCATCATTACTACAGATGGCAACAAACATATATCGCCGGGTGAAGTTGTCTGGAACAAGTTTCGATCTGACTCACCAATCAGACGACAGAAACGTGCTGACATCATCGAGGCCCACCTTGCTGGCAAATTTGTAATCCGATTGATGAAAGAAACGGTCCCGTTGTTAATTTATTTTTAATCACATCAGCTTGCGCTACTGATTCTGAAGGGCCTCGGCCACGGGTGTCAAACTCAAGCCCCGGGGGCCAGATCCGGCCCACATGTCACTTTATGTGGCCCGCAAAAGCAAATCACGTGTGTCAATTTGCATTCATCTTGCTCAAATCCGTACCAAAATGTCAAATTTTCATATGTAATAATGTTGAGATAAAGTTTGATAGCATGTTTACACTCACTTGAACAATAACTGAACAAACTATGAGACTTGACCGATTTCAAAACAAGTAATCCATTAATTTGTGTACAAGTCATAATGCGATGAGATGATGAAACATTTTTGTGGTTTCACTGTCACGTCGGACCTCCAGGGGAAGATATAACTCCAAAGTGGCCCGCAACAAAAATAAGTTTTGACACCCCTGGCCTTGGAGATTGACATGGCAATACATAGATGCTGAAATCTAATTGGACAAAATAAATAAATAAAATATGCATACATAGACTGGAATGAGTGCAACCAGGAGAAACACGATGAAATGGGGTCATGTGGGAAATGCTAAGCGCACACACGTCAGTGTCACCGAAGCAACCTAATTGTATTCTTAAAAACAAATCCCACAGACATGCACTCACTTTCCTCCTGTGACGTTTTGCTTGTGCTCAGGTGGCGGCTGGACGGTGATCCAGAGGCGGGTGGACGGTTCTGTGAGCTTTGACCGCAGCTGGCGCGAATACAGGGCCGGTTTCGGCGACCTCCACTCCGAATTCTGGCTGGGCAACGACCACATCCACGAACTGAGCGGCCAAGGGGACTACAGCCTGCGAATAGACCTGGAGGACTGGAGCAACAGACACAAGCACGCGCTTTATCAGCACTTCAGGTGGGCGTCCCACTCGAAAGAAACGCTTTTGTGTGAGACATCAGAAAAGTTCTTTTTCATAAATGGGTCATGAGCGATGCTGACTCGCTACATGAAAGTCATTGGCTTTTATTTTGACATGTTGTTCGTCATTCACCGCATGAACTGCAGCATCGTAATACATTTGCATCTTGAAAACATTTTAATAAATACATTTTAATTTTTTTTCAGAGCAGCTTTTTCTTTTCCACTCCAAAATAATGGCCTAAATCCATTTTTTTCTGAAAATTCGGATTAGATTATATTTATTAATAATATCATTTCCGAGGTAGAAAAATAATAAAGCCAATTTGGGCAGAGGTGGCCAGCATTCTGATGAATTAAAAAAAACATTTGTCAAAATATTTTACGAGGCTGTTTTTTGTTGAATCTGAGCATAGTGTTACAATGGCTAACAAAAATTTTATTAGCCTTATCGCATACCTGCCTCTTATTCTTTTAACACATTTGGAAAAAAAACAACAAAAAAAGCATAATTCAACGTTCACACATAACTGAAAATCTATGCAGACATTAAGAATTTATTTCGTTATTTTTTAGCAAACACATTTGTATTTGTTATTGATATGTAGGCGGTTGTGCTATTAAGCCAACAACATCAAATATGAAATTTAGGATTATAACTTCTGCCTTTGATGAACATTCAGACCTACTACACGATAATATTAATGTGCTACTTGCAGCGCCAAGTATTTTTTGAAGTGGTACTTGGTGTAAATAGTTTGAGAAGCTCTGCAAATAATACATACTCTTTTTCGGGTGTGAGGTGAGGTTGGTATTTCTCTCCCTCATCATCGATGACTCGAGGCAAGATTCACGCCTAGTCTTCATCTTCTATTGAAAAGCTGTGCTGATCTCAAATCCAAAGCGATGCCGATGACTCAAGCCAAGGTTCACCCCTAATCTTCATCTTCTATTGAAAAGCTGTGCTGATCCCAAATCCAAAGCGATGCAGCGCTGCCATCTTCAGGGATCTGTTAGTCATTCCGATGGTTTTTTTTCAAAAAGAAATTTCACTGACGAATGAGTTGTCATGCATGTGGCACAGTGTAGAAGATGAGGAGCACCGGTACCGTCTGCACGTGTCGGGCTTCAGCGGCAGCGCGGCGGACTCTTTCGGCTGGTACCACGACAAGCACGGCTTCAGCACGCCCGACAGCGGCGACATCTGCGCCGAGATCTCCCACGGCGGATGGTGGTACAGCCAATGCTTCTATGCCAATCTCAACGGGGTCTACTACAGGGTGACTGTCCAAGCGAGACAAGTTTTGAGTGTGAATTTATTCAAAACGCCAATTGAGCCGTGCTTGCGTCCCACAGGGAGGCCACTACACGCCTAAGGCCAAAGGTCAGCTGGGCCCCGACGGGATCGTGTGGCACTCGTGGAGAGACTCGGACTATTACTCGCTACGCAAAGTCACCATGATGATCCGGCCGCGCGGCTTTCGAAAACATCGGTCTCCCTGACCAACTGTTACCATGGCAACAACAATACACAAGTACTTAATCCCTGGACACTTTTCATGACGACTGATTGTTTGTTTTTTTTTTGTACTTTTTAGATGTTTTTATTTTTGTTAGTATATTGAGGGTCAGAGAAAATCCAAAACATTTTTGTTTGAATTATTGATAACTAACATGATGAGTGCACAACAGAAAAAAAGTGTGTCATGGAAATTGTATATTAAAAAAAAAAAAAAAATTCAATCAAATTACAGGTGCAGCTGAATAAATAAGAAATGAGTATTTTAATACAAAAAGCCAAAGTCATCTTATAGAGATGATAGTTTATCATGTAATCGTAAATTTTTTGAGGTGGATGCATTTTTTGGTTTTCATGAATCGCAAGCTATGATATGAAAATGAAATAAAATTATTAACTCAAGACAAATCTGCTGATGTCGCCGCTTCAGAGCGCATCGTTGATGGTTGTGAGTGCACGCACGTTATGCTGAAAAAAGCAGAAGAGCAAGGAGGGGATTTTGACAGCTAGCATGTGGACGAGGGCTTCGGGCTGGCATGGGCACTTTAGAGCGCCTCATTGTCTCATAAAAAAGCTCCACGACATCTCTATTGCTTGAACAGAATATATTTTCATGTCTCGGATGTCATGTCTTCATCTAGCATCTTAAGGAAGATGCTAGATGAAGTTTGTGAGTTTAATCGGGCAATTCAGCGGACAACCCCGGAGTTTGAGTGGAAAGAACGGCTTGAATTCCACAATTTTGAAGTCTCATTTTATCTACTTTTTTTTTTTTAACAATCATTCAAAATCGGCAGGATTGTTAACACACTTCTCTACGGTGTGCCAAACTTATTTGCACTTTACAGCTGCTTTAAATGACTTGCTTGTCTCCAGCTGCACCTGCTGACAGCGGGAGCCTCGTGCAGGGCTAAAAAGGCCTCTTTCACCGCCCCCGCCCCGCCCACTCGGACACGACTGCACAAACCCCCTTTTTGACCCTTGGCTCGCTCATTCTCATTCGTCACCGTATCTCCAACGCAAGAATCTGCTCAGCGCGGATAAGGGCCTCACTGTGCACGGACGCCGAGAACAAGACGAGGATTCTTCGCACATTTAAAAATAAAAAAACTAAAAACTCAAAACGAAGAGGAAAATTATTGTCTAGTCAATCTAATCTATTTATTTTTGTACTCCTTGACGCACAAAATCAAAAGACAAAAAGGCACCTGATGGAATAGTGTATATTTATTTGTATGTACTGTACACTCACCAGCCACTTCATTAGGCACACATGTACAAATATGAGCCAACGCACCTTCACCTTCAAAGTCTGCCTTTACAAAGACGATAGAGGTCAGTTTGCACTGACCGCAACAGACCCTTCAATCTGTCAAACAGGCCTCACTTACATTGTACACATGCACCCATGATGCCGGTCAAACGTGCTTATTAAATATGTATTTATACATATATGATAGATGTGTATCACATATCAAAAAAAAAAAATTGAGATTGATTGCATGCGAAAAGCAAAAACAAACTGCGTATGTGCTCGACAGGTCCTACACCTTCATATAAAAACGTCAGACTTCGATTAAAGGCGGTGGGGGAATCCATTCATAGTCATTAAATGCGCATTCGGGCTTGAAATGTAAACGTCCATCAAATGAAGAAAAAAAAAAAATATTGGATTGAAGCTCTCGCTCTCTTTTTTTTTGGTTTCCCCCCCCAGTTCAACTGAGCAAGGCACGTGGGTAGAGGACTGGAAGGGGCGGCGCTTCCGTCATCTAAACAGGAAGTGCAGGAAGAAAGGAGGCGGCGGACACACAAACGCGCACACGTTGTTTCCTTCGAGGGATGCGACGCCAAAAACATATCGAATATACACATTCATATGAAAAGGCACCGAGTAGTTTCCGCGATAAATTTGCTGAGTTCTGAATTGGAGGTGTTTTTTTTTTTTTTTTAAGCGCCTACAGTGTCACGGCTATTTTCTCAGTTGTGTGAATTGCGTTTTTTGCGTGTTTTGTTCCCGTTACCAGCCCGCAGATCTTTGAAAAGAAAGAAAAAAAAACGGGAACAATAATTGCGTGTCATCATCTGCAATCAGCGCTGGGCCTTTCCATTTTGAACGCCGTTTCGCGCTAAAAAAATCCGTCTAAGGGATGAGGAGGGATGAAAAGTGAATCAAAAAAGAGCGAGCGAGAGAGAGCGAGAGAGCGAGAGAGAGAGAGAGAGAGAGAGAGAGAGACGCAAGCGGCAGTACGAGGGAAAATTTGGGATGTGGACTTCTTCGGCCGTACCATGACAGTTCCGTTCACATTGTCGTGAACTGACTGTGAGCCTGTCTCAGCTTTGCAGCGATCTGGCGGTTCACAGGGAGCATAAACAAAAAAGAAGGCTGTTAAGGGGCGGCTGAGCAGAGCATTTATCCAAATAGCGTGTGTGCGTGTGTGTGTGGGGGAGTGTGGGGGGCTGTCTAATTACATGCGACAGAATTGTTCTTTACCGTCTCGTAAAACTTGACTTGTTCTTCCAGGTAGAGCTGCATGACGCGATTGTAGTCGTAGATACGGTTGCTATGGAAGTGGTTCATCTCAGCTGGGAGATTCAAGCGAGACAAAACGGTCACAATGCGCCGGGGCGAGTCACCCCGCCGAGCGCCGCGCCGTACCTTGTAACGCGTAAGACATGGTGCTGACTCGTTTCGCCATGGTGACCTTTTCCTGAGGGGTGATTTTATTGGTGGCCACCAACTTGTCGCCTTCCTTCACTTTGTCAATGGCGGCCTGCGCCACAACAGAGGGAGACATGTCAAAAATCGTTGGTCCTCCCATGCTAAAGAACAAAACAATTTTCTGGCCCTCTCTTTTGCGCAAAAACTCAAAATGCTCCATTCCGTACATGACGTTAGAAATGGAAAGAAAATTGAGAAAGCCCATCGTTTTCACCTGATGCCGATTAAATAAAAGTTACGTGAGAGCCGCTGAGCTCCGATCAGCTCACCCAAGAGCCAGATGCTCTAGGTTAACGGATAGCGTTCTCAACATGGAGGCTGCTGTACCTTATGGACGCCAATGGTGTCCGGGAAGCATCCAAGCAAACCTTTGTACTCGTTGTTGGTCTCCATGAGGAAGTGGAGGTCCTTTTTGGGCTGGATTGGAATCGATGACAGGCACACGGATACAAACACCACATGCAAAAACAATGTCTAGATTAGAACTGAAAGGAAGAGCATTGTTGAGCATGTCAGGGGATATCTAAGCAGGAAGTAGCTCACAACTGATAAGTGGGAACATGGGGAAAAGCTAAAATGCGTCCAGTGTTGCAGATTCTTGAAAGAAGAGATTCTATCTATCTGAACTTGCCGCTATTTGTTCGGTAACGGGACATCTAATGGTGAGACTTTTGAGATCAAACCATACCTTTCACCCTTAAAAGAAGAAAAAATAATAATCTCAATGACAAGTCAACAAAGGATGACTTGAGATGCATGTCTGGATTCGTCACATCTTACCGCACGATTCCTCCTCCGTGCCGCGGCAAAACAAAAGGCCGGTTTCAGAAGCCGGCAACAAAAGGCAACATTTCAGTCCGATTTAGAAACTACAATCGGGGGCGCTTGAACAAGTGAAGTGTGAAATGGCGCGTTTAAAAAAAAATAAAATAAAATCATAATAATAACTATAATTCGAATAATCATAGAGATGATTTGAAATTCATTGAAATAATGAGCGCCTACCTGCTCCGCTACCAACTGCGCTATTTCCTCATAGGTCTTCCCTGCGGCCGTCATGGCGTCAGTCAGCGTTTCCTCACCTTCAGGAGGAAGACGATTTTATTGGACTTTCTTAAAGCCCGTTAAAATGCAAAAACCCATCCAACTACACTCCAAGTGGCAATCGTTTCGAAGTCGATGCGAAGGATTGCTTTTAATTCCTACATCCGGTTGCGCTCCGAATGATTCCATTTCGCAATTTCTTGAAGAATTGCCATCGCCGGCGTGCGTCACAGCATATTCGAAGACGTCGCAACAACGGCCTTGATCCCGTGCGAGTGACCGTGACGTCAGAGCAAATGTGATGAGACCCTCCGATGAGATTTCTCGCAATGACATCGTTCCCAGCAGCGCTTGGGAGCGTAGACCCCCCACCCCCCTCCCAAAAACATTCACATCACTTCCTGGATGAGCGGGGGTGTACCTTGGTAGCCGCTGCTGGTGAACACCGAGGAGAGGTTCTGGAAGGCTTTACCGATTCGTTGGTATTCTTTTGGCAGAGCTGAATTCACAGAAAAGGGGGAATTGGGATTTCAAACGGTGGTCAAATATCGCCGGCGGTTTTTTTTCGGCGGCGTGTACGTACGGCCCGTGCAGCGCTTCCAGTGCTCGTGGCCCACGGTGAGGATTTCCTTCACCCCGTCGTCCATTGCTTTGGTGAACCTGTTGAACTGCTCGCATTTCTGCTCCCTGTGTGCGAGCGCGCACAAAAAAATAAAAAATAAAAGTAAATTTTTAAAATGAGTGTTTGTGAGGAATGCTTTGCGATTCTTTCACTCACACTTCGATAGGATCCAAGTCGGCGGCTTCAGGCTCGATCGTGGTGAAGATCATCACTCCCACCGTCTCGTCCTTTTCTGCTTTTCTCTTGCCAGTTTTCCAGTCCTGCGCCATTCAAACCCATTTTTTTTCTATTTTTTTTTTTTTTTTTGCATCACGTCTCAGCACTTTGTCATGAGGCCGGATTTACATTGCGTGGTTCAAGTGAGGCAATAGTCCGATGATTTGCTCTGCAGTGGCCCAACAAATGGGACACCTGGTGTCAAGTTAAAGCACAGTAATCGCGAGCCGCATGCGGCCCTTTGGCTGGTTCCACGCGGCTCCCGGGCTTTCACGCGACAATTGTCGAAAACGCCTCTGCGACGGCGCTGCCATTCAAACAACGGTGCTTAATGTACAGAACGTACTACGTCAGCCTATCATAAATCCCGTTACTTGATTTGACGGAGGGCAACCAATCAGATGACTGAATCACCGCTCATGCGCAGACAGCGGCGCTAAGTGCTAAGCTAGTCAGCGAATTACCTCTGTTTTGCCCAATACGTGTGTGTGAGTATGTGCGTGTGTGTGTGTGTGTGTGGCTCTTTGCAGTAACACAGTAAAAAAAATTGGCTCTTAGTCTCTGACTGGTTGCCCCCCCCTGGCGTAGACAAATACATATTCGCTGCCATGGACATTTTTGCCTCAAACAACAAGACAGGACAAAGTGACGACGCCGTACCTTCTCATCCTTATACGTGAGGAACAGCTGAAATACTTCACTGCTGGCAATGACTGGGTGCCTGCACATCCTGCTCATCCAGCCCTGCAACCGCTCCATTCGCATCTTAATGAATTCTTCCTCAAAGCGCCCTGGCATAGACCAAAAAAAAAAAAAAAAACCAAACAAAAAATGAGATCACACTCATCACACTAGCACGTTGACAAAAGATGCGACAAGAGCGACACTCACCTGTTACCTGCTTGTCCGGTAAGGACGGGATGGGAATGGCCGAGCCGAATTTGTCCAGGAGCCTCTCGTACAGCCAGTCAAAGTGCTTGTATCTGTGATTGACGGGTCGGTTCGTGGTCTGAAATGGGCATGGCGGCGAGTTAACGCACCAAGCGGACAACGCGGCGGAGCGAAAGCCGCGGCAGGAGCGGGGGCCGCTTACGTTGGGTGTGATTTGGTACTCGATGTAGCTCTTCAGGCCGTACATCTTGGAGCCTTTCTTGGGGTCGGCCACCACACAGTCCAGCTGCGATTCCGGGTAAAGCCACACCGGGCCAACCTCGCCCATCTACAGAAACAAGCCAATTGATTTTTCAGGGCCCTTTTTTCGAGCGGGAAATCAAGCGGACAGGGTGCAATGTCAATCCTGAGCGCAGAAGAATTCTTCACCAGTAAGCTCATTTCAAATGTTCACGAACCGTACTGATAAAATAATAGAACCTACATAAATTGGTAGCTTGTCCTTGCCCTTTGCAATCTGCTTGCACAGGAGGTACAACTCGGGACCAGACTTTGAGAACCCAGGAAACCTGAAAGGCAAAACGGAAACATGATGGTGAGGTGATATTTGAAATGAAGTGTCGGTGGACAAGAAGAGACGGCAAGACATATTCCACAGTCCAGGCTTGTTTTTTTTTTTTGTTTTTAAACTACTCAAGGCAATAGCAAGCCTCTCGATCTGCTTGGCAACACTGGGACGAGTTTGAGGAACATCAGCCAGTCAAAAAAAACAAACAAAAAAAAACAGGCCTTCAAAATAAAAGCACAGGGGTAAAATAACACATGTTATTTGGCTCTACGGTGGTTTACTTAGTCACACGCAAATGATTTTGCACTTCTTTATTAAGTGTGACTTTATTAAATAAGACAACACTTGGCTTTAGAAGGTGTGGTGACACTGTAATTATAATCCGGCTTTTATTTTGAAGGACTGACTATAGACAGACCTTGCGCAGCGCTTGAGTAGCCATCTGATGAAGACAAAATCCAGAATGCCTCAGATGAACATGCATCTTTTTTTGGGGGGGGAGGAGTATGATAAGCAAACGGATGTCGAAAAATCAGGAAACTCAGGTTGGAAGTATTTTGGATGTCACACCCTCAAAGTAGATCTGTAAACCGGTTCCAATAAAGGGACACATGAAAGTGTCTTTCAAAAAGACACTGAATCCGTGTAGAAAGATGTTCTAATGTCATCGAAATGGAAGAACAGCAGAAGATTATTCCGATTTTTGGCCCGAGCTGAGACCTCAAGCAGCGCGCCAAAAAAACGATGAAACCTTACTTGAGTTTCATTGACGCATGAGCGCCGCCTCGCTGCATGGCGTTGCCGTCTCCCGATTCGACCTCGCCGTAACCGGCGGTGGACTTGTCGTCCCACTCGTCGTCCCATTCGTCGTCTTCAGCTCCTGGAAGCAAGCGGAACAAAATGGTGAACAATGGTCGCGATGAAAACATCGTCTTTTGCCCTCCTTGTCACGTCCGGTAAATTCGATGCACGGCTGTAATGTTCCTCATCGTGTCTCAGCTTCACAATTGCTTGTTGTCAAAGCATAAACGGCTCTCTGGTTTTTGCGTTGGTTACAACTTAGTCCAAAACTGAGTGTTGACATTCAGGGCGACTTATTGTTTGGGGAAAGGGAAAAAAAAAAAAATCTGCGTGAATACACACACAAAAAAATGGAACGCTATTTTGATCACCATGTTGTATTTTGCCCTCAATGTGCCATCAGGCTCGATTGGCGCACTGGTTTGAAGACTGCGTTTTAAAGAAGTCATTAAAAAACGAGAATGACAACATTTTCAGGACACACATTTGAAGAGGGCTTTTTTTTTTTTTTGGACAGCGACATGTTTCAAAACTCACAGAAACTCCACAAAGCAAATAACCACGAGCACGTCGAGCCGTCCCTTATGGAGATCGTCCGGGCCCCGAGCGATCAGCCGCATCTCAACAGCACCGAGCAAGTTGGAAAACAACGTGCTGGACTTGACGTGAGTCAGTTTTACAGAACTGCTTCAAGGAAATGTGCTATTAAAACTGGAGAAATAAATCAAGATCGCTCTGGCAAGCAGCAAAATCCATCCCGCGCATGGATTAGTTGCCAACATGTGTCGCTTTCACCTCAACTGTCAGATAAAATTCATCACGCCCGGTGGTGGTGATTTCACTTTTTGGCGCCATTTTCTTTTTATAGATAACCAGTCGCAGCTTGTACCAAACAATCAACACAGTGTTAATATGAAGAGCAAAAGTTGTCACATGCTTTTAATATTTGCCCGTCACAAAAGAAAATCGGGCTCGTGGGCACACCATGCATCGCATACCTGTGCAATCGATAAGGTAAGGATAGGGGTAGATGTCTTTGGAAAGAGAGAAGAGAAACAAAAGAGGGGAAAAAGTCTGTTCATTCTGTTCCGATGTTGTTTTCCTTTCACAAAAACAAACGGGAGAATTGAGGTCAGCCGTAATTTTGCCTGCTTGACTCATGCGTGAGTCCAACTTTTCCACCGCTTGGTTTAAAAAAAAAAAAAAAAAATTCACGACAGGCGCAATATCTGCTGGGTCAGACGACACGCAGCTGCAGATTGTTTTGGGTTTTTTTTCTACACGGGCGTCATATTTCATTTGTGTCAAGTTGCATGGGGGAAAAAAAAAAAAAAACACAGTTCTGATGGAAATGCAATCTCATAGGTGAAGTAATTGGGAGGCCATTCAGAACAGGTACATTGTATTTCTATTGTGTGCTTTGTATTCAATATCATACTAGCAAGAAGCTAAACAAAAATACATGACACAAATGAATCTTGCCTCAGACTTTTTAAGAGACACGCACCCTTCAACATGTCGAAGAGTCGCCTCGCCCTCTAACCTGAGGACCGGGGGATGGAATGATTACACCGGTCTGCCTTTACGCTTATTCTTTCGCACCACTTGGAAGGCACTCACAGTATGATCTAAATTACACACCCAAAATAATTCACCATTCCACTTTTACGGACAACGCTTGGCTCTTCCAGTCATCTTGGCGACAAAAAACAAAAATAATAATAATAATAATAATAATAATAATAATAATAGATTTCATTTATAAGCGCTTTTCAAAACACTCAAGGACACTTTACAATCAAAACAAGAACAATAAAACCACAGATAAAATTATAAATAATAAAAGGAGAGATGAATTTAAACTGAATGGCAAGCCTGTGTTCTTACCTGGACCCTGGTAGGCCTGAGGGTGACCCTGAGCGGCGACGCCCCAGGAGTCGCCCGCGGCCGCCCTGCCAGTCTGGGTGCCGTCCGGATTGGACGCCGAGTTGTTGGAGGCGCCCGCCGAGGGGTCCGCGTTCCACGCAGACCAGGGATCGTTGCCATTGCTGTTGGCCTGCAACGTCAAACGCAGAACGGTATAAATTGATACGATTACCTTTCAACGTAGCCGATTGGTTGTTTTTGCCCGTTGGGACGGTTGCCGAGCATGCACTCGAAAACCTTGAAGGCTTCCACATGCATCGGAGCACATATTTGCCTTTCAAGTCCCTCTTAGCTGAGGGCTAATAAAAGGCAGACTTGGTAGTCAATTAATAATAAGACCTTCCTTATACTCATTAAAAATAACGAAATAAAAATAAAACACATCAGCCATCGTATGATTTGAATGGCGCGCAATATTCCAACAATACACAGTGGATATAAAAAGCCGACACACCCTTCTTCAAATGCGAGGATTTTGTGATCTAAAAAAATAATTACATAAAAAAATACCTGCACAAATAATTCAAAAATTCTCCTTCAATTTAACCTATAACCTGTACAAGTCAGATTTTTTTTTTTTTTGGGGTGAGATATCCAGTTTTTACAATGATCTAACATGGTTTCATTTTTTTTTCATGTCACCAAAATATGGCATGGGTGTGTAGACTTTTTTTTGTTTTTTTTTTAGATTCACTGTGATGTTTTTCTTTCCATAGTAAACTCAAATGATTTGCAATACATTGATCATAATCCCTAATGTGCTGATTCAAACAATCCAAATCTACGCGTGTTAAGGGCGATGAACAGTTAGCGTGAGGTCATGCGTTTGCACAGGCAACGGGAGGCAGTCGGGGAGGGGCCGATTGGCGCAAGGGGTTTTTGGGGGCGGATCATGCCGCTCGCCCCCTTTGACCATCCCCGGGTGGCGGTTACCTCATCGGGGGAAGTAAAGTAGGGGGAAACTGGGGTATCAGGGGTGTCGGGCTGGGGGCTCAAGCGCCTAGTGTCCACCTTGGGGGAAGGAAGAGAAGGTTGAGGAATGGAGAGGGGGAAAAGGAAAGGGAACGTGTGCGTGAGTTTGAGAGTGAGGGGGGCGGGGGAGCATTCCTTGACTCATCCGCTTTCTCTGCCCAGATTTGTACCGATGCAGCAGTAAACTCATTTCCTTGGAACTTCCTGTTACAGCTCATTTCCTTCTAGTATGCTAAAATGCAAACATGACACAAGCTGGATGACATTTAAGGGCTCTCACTTCTGCATTTATGTGCATGTGGGTCGCACAGAAAGGGGGGGGGGAGCACAACAAAGAGAGCATTTCTGGTGCCGTTTGGAGTTACAAAGTTATAAAGTATCCGCATTACCTGGTTTTGCTGCGTCGATGTGGGGGCAAAGGCGTCAAAGAAGGAGAGATCCGAATTGACGATGTTCCCGACGCCGGCGGCCGGCGCGGCGGTTCCTGCCGCGGGGAACGACGGGAGGGCCGATTTGTTGAGCTGCAGATGAGAAGGATAGCAGAGAAGAAAAAAAAAATTCCAAATTGAGACTTTATGACTTTTACAGGTGCATTCCTCGGCGGTAACGCGACAACGTTCCACTGGAAGTTTATAAAAAAAACAAACCCTGAGACCAATTGCGTGTGCTTATTTGAATGCAATAAAAGGAACACGTGCGCCGGTATTTTCATTATCATAATAAAATAAAACAGACACCTCATACCGTGCATGTTTTGGTCATTTTGGAAGAAGACATTGCTGGGAGCAGCCACAGAAGAAAAATTTTCAGACCTAACCTCTCTGGAGGTAGTGAGCACCTCAAATCGTATTCATCAGCCTTCTTGTACAAGTCAATGGAAAAAAAAATGTACTTTTGAATTCATAACATAGCCATACAGCTGATCGAAGCCACAGAAAAGAACAACAATAACGGACAACACATTTACGACAGTCGTGTTTCAAAATCAACACACAAACACACTTTCGCACAAAACAACAAAAAATGAACTCAACCAAGGTGTTATTGTGTCTCTTGCTCTCGCCTTCCAGAGACAAGTTCAGAAATGAACAGCTTCACCTTCGTTCCTTCATTTTTATGTCGAGCCTCCTCGAAAAAGATAGCTTGCAACCTCGTCACTAAACGGTATGACGAGGAGAATCTTCAAGGGCTTTCTCTGTGTCTTGACTTCCGTGGATCCCCCAAAGACTGACAAATAACATTGGTTTGATATGTCTATATCTGTACGGAGCAAGCCTTGACTTTTAACCGTATTTTTGAACACTCCACAAGGGACTCCAGAGGGATTCTCATCCTTATAGTGAAGTCACTCCAGCGGGTCAAACGGATGAGCCGAGACGACCGAATCAGCAAAGCTCTCGAGGAGGCGCTTCCTGTTGAGATTTTACTTTCGGGAGGGTGGGTAGCTATCTGCTTGCGGTTTTTTTTTTTGTTTTTGTTTTTGGTTTGTTTTAGAATACAGTAGAGGATGTGTGACCTTTCGTTGTGTGTGTTGCTCTCACCTCTACGTAGTCTATAGGCACCAGTCCCACATCCCCTCGGGAGTTCTGCGCTTCAATCCAGCCACCACCAATGTGCTGTAACCCAAATTAGAAACATTTTGGATACACACCAATGAATCAATTGAAGGTCAGTTTGACAGCTCAATTTGTTCCCAAGCAGTGGACTTGGATACACCATAATTCTTGTTTAAAAGAAAAAAAAAAAATGAACAAGTCCAGTATTACCACGACACAAGGTGCTCATACAGGCCTTTGCGGAAGTCAAGGTTATTTTCAGTTCACGCTTTGTTTCAGCAGCGTGTTTAGCAAGAGTCAATTCAGCAAACGTCAAGGATCAGTTCTGTACTTGGCTTATGATTTTTTTTTTTTTACCCCCTTGGTGTATTTTGTGACCCGTTTTCCAAAAGCTCACGTTAGCAGCTAGCACTAGCTGCTAGCTCGCTCATCCCACTGCCTGGCTAGTTGCTCTGTGTGTTGCCGCTTGTCATAAAAGGTTGTCATTAAAAAATGTCTTTATTGGAAAAATAAGCATGACTGCCGCATGTCCTTGCGAATAAGGAGGATTTACTGCCATTCAAATTAAGCTTGCTTCGTCCTTTACTAACAATTTGATCTTGCAAGAGTTCATTTATCTTACACAAGAATGTTAAATTTGCTGTCTAAGTTCATGCCGGACTTCCGTTTCCTCGGGGTTGCACAACTAACACGCTTTGTAATGGACGCTAACCTGACAAGACGTCGAGCGAAAGCGGATGTCATTAATTCAGTACAGTTCAATTTTTTTGTTTTTAAACACCAGTTTGGTTTCCCATAGACATGTTTTGATGAACCGACATAGAAACATAAATACGTCGCCCCACATCCAAAATAAATTAAAAAACAAAACAAAAAAAAAACATTACACTGTTTATAAGGCATCCGCACATAGACGTATGTGTTGGAATCAATCTGAGCTCACAGCGGTAGCCTCTGAACTAAATGGCTTCAAACAGACTTTGAAAACTTTGCAGTCCAGTGAACACAGCAAAGAGACCTTTGAACTGTTGGCCTCTGACTATAATGACATCATGTTTGCTCTTTTATTTCCTTCCTCTGGCCATTTGTGACACTCGTGTTTCTGCACACGTTGAGACCTTGGGTGGACTCTTGAGTTTTTTTTTGGGGGGGGACGGTCACGTGTCTCCACCTTAGTGTGCGGCGGTTAATTTGTGCTGCAGTCTTTCCCCTTGTGAGAGACAACTCCCATTTGTCACTAAAGATATATAATAAAAAATGATGCCCTCATACTGTACTATTTAAGCTTTTCACTGTATTACAAGCTGACAAAGAACAACTCACCTGATTGGTGATAGTGACCGTTTCACCCTCTTTCACCGTCAGCTCATTGTTTCCCGGCTCCGCAGTGAAGTCATATAAAACCTGTGCCTGAGCACAAAGACAGACAAGGCACACGTTTGTTTGTTTTCAGCCATTTCTCTGTAGGCGGTACAACATTAACATATACCAACACGCATGAAACACCAGCAGTCTAGAAGTGCACTCACTATGAAACAGGACAAACTCGTTCCCCTTGGCCTGTTTTTTGCTGATTCGTATCTAGATACTAGTGTCAACCAAAAACAAGCAAGAAAAAAGAAGCATACGTCTCAGAAGTGGAACACACTATTCGTTGTCTGGTGATGAATTTGACTGTTTGTATTTACTTCTCTGGACGTTATTTTATAAAGTCATCACAACAGTCTCATTTACACTGTGTGGGCCTGTGGCTATAAGTTCATTTTTACAGCGCCTCGTTGTTGACTGTGAGTGCAGATATGTCAGAGAGTGAAGACTGAACAAATTACGACTCTATAGCTAGCGTAACGACCAGTGTTTCGGGTTGGCGTGATTGCTTTAGAGCACCTTAGTCTTGGCTGTAAGTGTGCGCATCTCACATTTTTCACAATTTTGAAGCCTCATCTTAAATTACTACTTTGAACCATTCAAAGACGTCAATGTTGCAAACAACAGTCTTCCCTGTGGTGTGTGAACATTAATACACATTTCAGGGAGACTTTAACATTTGTAATATATATATATATATATATATATATATATATATATATATATATATACAGTACTGTCCAAAAGTTTTAGGTGGGTACTTTATTTTTTCTAATGACTTTTTTTGCAGCAATCGTTTTGACATCATAATAGACAGGATTACTATTTCTATAAAAATGTGTGGAAGGGTGTTGCATGGCCCGAGGAAGAACCTACAATTTGTTGGAGGATCTAGATAAAAGGTCCAGGATTACGATCATAATGGCACATTCCGTGTGTTCATCCTCCAAGAACCAGGAAGTAGTTTGATAAAACTGACAAACACATGGACAACAAACTCAATTTAACTGCACAAGTTGTTTGTTACGTTTTGTATTTTACTTGCTAATATTTTAACTAGCGTGCGCCTCCCCTGAATTAACTCTATAAATTATAGTAATTGTTGCCAGTTTAAGCGACACTCTTTATTTAATTTTTAAAATCAATCTATTGATATAGCTTACAACATAAAATCGTCAAATGAGTGAACCATTAGCTTTCATGCACTTAGGCAAAGACTTCACTTCCCAGCATGCCCCGCAAATTGCAAGTGACCCGCATTTGAACGGTAGTAAAATGTCACAAGACTCTTTCCTAATGACACATTTTTCCACATCAGGCCAATCATGAGTGGCATCTACTATTTCGCATAGTTACCTTAAGAGTCAACCACACGTTTAAAATCTCTAATATTTTGATGTATTTGCGCCTCGGTTCGTAACTTTGACTTTCAAAGTTACGATAAAGCTCATGTGGGAAAGTGCAAGTCAGCCAGCCTCGCGGGAATGGAGACGACGACAAGTTAAAAGTCGCGGTTATTGCAGCATAGGAAGAACGTTGCTGATCTTACCTTCAGTGCCATAGTCGAAGCGTTTATCAATCATTACAAAAAAAGCAGGGCCCAGCAGTCGGTTTGAAGGCTTTTCCAACACTCAGCTGGCCATTTCCTTCCGCCGCTTTTCTTCTGCGTGACGTAAACACGGCGGTTCCTGTAAACAACCGCAAACTAAACACTTTGAACTGGCAAAGATGGCGAAAGGGGGAAGCCAGTGGGTCCGCGTTAAGTCGCAGAGTAGCTCCGTATTGATTCGAGCCGTCCAGAGTTGTGTTTATATGCGAGTACACTGGTAGCGGGGAGGGAGTGACCTGCAACCGTCGAAGGGAAACCGGAAAGGTGGAATCGATCACAGAAGCCTCCACTCCTGTCATTAACATTCAGTTTTAAAAATATGTTTGAAAAAAAAAATTACATAGCTTTTACGTAAACCAATGCTGTTGGACTTATGATGATATAAAAAAAAATATATATATATATATATATGTATATCAACATTACTCTAACAACATTGGTTGATGTATAAGCTTGTTAAAGATCGGGAAAAAACGGTAAAACTACGATAAAACACAAATATAAGGAGTGAATACAACTTGGAGCAATTATTCTAAATAATACGATTGAATATAAGATGTTTTTCCTCGTGAAAAAACAACGTAACCGTGCCATAATCATTTTTGTACGTTAGTGTCGCCCTCAGGTGGCTGAAAGATGATTTACAGGTCCAGATGTGTTTCCCCATGTTTTGGTTGTGCCGCAACTGAAGAAACTTGACAAATGTTATGTTTGGTTCAAATAAAATAATCAGTGACTGTGTGAATGTGATTCGTGACCACTCTCAAGTTATGCTATGAAAGGCTCCAGATTTCTGTGACCTGTAAAAAACGTCAAACTCCACTTTTTCAGTTTTTTTTTTTCAAGAAACCAACTTGCTTGAGGAACAACCTGTATCTCTTTTTATTTGAACAGAAATATGCAGACTCAGCTATTTTAAACAACAAAAATGGAAATAATGCAAATAGGATGATGACAGCATCTCGTCAGGAATGGCCTTTAAAAAATGCGACTGAAAAGAAAGAGGCGCTCTCCAAACCCAAAGGGTCGGCTTCAACTTTGACCTTTGGCAAATTCTCCGAGTACTGTTTTTTTTTCCGCTGTGATGTGCTGACAAGAGGAGACAAGGATTTGCTCTTTTGTCCCAAGACCAAGTCTGGCAGGTTGACCTTTTGTATTGCCACCACATCGGCCCAACATCATTTTATTCCAAAATTTGAAGGATTGATTCATTTCGTGCGCACCAAGGACCGAAAGGTAAGGAAAATAAATGAAATTACCAAAACAAAAATTCCCCAAACATTTGAAAAACTAAAACTAGGCATTTTCCCCAAAATAAAACCAAGTCGTAGGCTCTAAAATTCAATCACACTCAGTGAATTGACGAACCAAAGGATAAAACAAAATAAAAACTAAAAGTAATTAAAAAAATGAAATAAAATCGAAAGACGACCTTGAATATCCAGCCGTTTTTCCTCTCATTACTTTAAAACATGGTTGCCATAGCGACCACTTCTTCTGATAAGGCAGGCTGTTGTTTTAATTTCACTTTATCTGTGTGTTTGGGTTGAGTGGGGGGAAATGAGGCATTCATGTGTCTATGCTGGGCCACAATAATACAAAAGCCAGCAGTTCCCTTCAGGGATTACAATAAAATATATTTAAATTTGAATTAAACCCCCAAAAATGACCTTTAGATAAAATTAAATTGCATAAATCAATCCAAACATTAAATAAAAATTACATTAAAATTAAATTTCACCCCAAAGAAATTACATCACAAAATGTAATTAAACATCAAAATTACCTTGTAAACATTCATTAAAAAAATATTAAAAATACAAATTAAAACAAAATTTTTATTTGAATTTGAAAGTTGAAAATGAAAGTGGAAAATTCAGATTACAAATTAAAGATTACAGATTAAAATTCCAAATTAAAAAAACTAAAACAAAAAAATTGTCATCAGTACTAAAAGATAAAATTAAAATTAAGAGCAAGATGTCGATTAAAAGCTACATTTAAATTAAACAATTTAAAAAATGACAGGTTTCTTTACGTCAAACACCTTCCTTAGTTATGCGACAGCTATGAAAATACTCTGTACACAAAAGAGGATAACAATACAAAAGAACCCCACACATCGTTCAAGCAGTAAATTAGCATGAGAAGGCAAACTCGCATTCTGCAGGATTGTCTTAGTTTCGTCAGTGCGAATAAAACAGAAACAGAAAAAAAAGGCCAGTGTTAAAGATCGATTGACTAGGGATGTCACGATGCAATTTTCATTTTCCGATTTTGAGAACATGAAAATTCCACACAGGAAGGCCGGGGCCCGGAATCGAACCCATTGTGAGACGGACGTGCTAAGCAATCGATCACAGTGCCACCCTCCCATTTCTGGATTGAGAAGGTTTTGTTCAGCTCCAATGTTTTGAAAGTATGTGGGATATATACATGGAGAGGATCTCAGCTCCTCAGTGCGGCAGTAATATTAATCGCTCTATGTAGTGGATAAAGAATATATGCCTGTGGGTATGTTGTGCTTTTGAGTATTTTTTTTCCCCAGAGTTGTCTCGTGGGGCTGACGTGTGCAGTCTCTTTGCAGGTTAGAAGTCTCGGTCCCAACCTGAGAACTCCTCCTCTGTCTTGGTCTGGTCCTGAGGGAAGCGGTCGAAATTGATGTAGCAAGGGCCCTGAAGGTGACAAAAAAAATTAATAAAAAAGACTTAGAACCGGAAGCATGACACATAAGAGTGCATGTTCTGTTTTTTTTTTCCACACGGATGAGTAAAGAACTCACCTTGCGTATGAGGCGGACAGTGGGCGCATCCAGCTGAGCCATGCGCAGCTTGTGCCAGTTCATGTTACTGAACCACCTGCGGGCAAAAAGACATTAGCCTTGACGTGTGCATGAACTTTCACGTCAAACATGGAGACTCAAGTATTTTTCTGCATTATGTGTTCGTATTAACGTAAGCAAAAGCGATGTGTTTTTTTTTCAAACATAACATGAACTGTATTTTCCGCACTATAAGGTGCAACCTAAAAGCATTCCATTTTCTCAAAAGCGGACAGTGCGCCTTATAATCCGATCATTTTCATGTCTGTGTTTGTGACCAATTTTTATTGTTACGGGTGCAGTGGTGGTGGAGGCTCCATAGAAATAAAGCTGTAATTGTATTGTATTGAATTCCCTTTAGCGTAGCTCCATCTAGTGGATGCAGAGTGCAACAGCAGCCACTATTGTAGCTTCTATTCTATGCGCCTTATACTCCAAAGCGCCTTTTTGTGCGGAAAATAATTCTCTTGGCGTGATTTTTATTTTGACAGCAAACTCGAACATGGAATAATTGCTCTTATGTTAAAAAACATGACGACTACATGACAGATTTCTTTGCGTGGTGACCTGTGATGTCGGACATCTTTGATGCCATTCTTTGTATTTCCCAACCTCTGACCAGGCCGTGGTCTGCAACAACAATAACAACATCAACGCATAAATAAATAATAGCAGACATTTTTTTTTTTTAATTTAACACTCCCTGGAGCGCGTCGGTCTGACCTGCACAGTTTACTGATGATGGACTTGGCCGCCTCGCTTAGGTAGGGAGGATACTTCAGAACGCCGTCTAGGATCTTGGCATAAATCTTCTGAGGCTCCGAGCTCGAAAAGGGAGGACTTGATGGTTCCCGTGAAGAAAACATGCAAGGAGAAAGAGACTAACGCAGACGGCATACGAGTGGAGAGAACAAACCTACAGCTGCAGATGAAAAGAGAAAAATCATATTTCCTTGCTGCCATCTTCTGGCGGCGGCGACGTTGCTCATCCTTTCATTTTTTTTTTTTTTTTGCGACGCAGACTGCTAACAGGAGTCACCTCGATTTTGTACAGTTTGTGCTGTCGTATAATAAATGTAAAATAATAAATACTTTTTTAAAACGATCTGAAACGAACATGATAAATAACATTTGAATCAATAGAACACAGTGCTTACTCGATCGAGAATGTGGTTTGGTTACATGAGTAAAAGTTGAAAAATAAAAATAAAATGTTATTATGATGTATTTGTGTACATAAACATGGTTTCATTTTTTAATCGAGCTTTGTATTGTGCAAAATGTTTTAAAATAATCTTTTTGTTGAATTTTTATGATGCAACACTTAGCATGGTGTTTTTTTTTTAATCTTGCACACAGGTATAAGACCATTGAAAAAATTAAAAAAAAAAAAAACTAATTCTAAAAATAATTAAAACTGTTTTTTTTTAAAAATCTCCCTGCCGTGAAAACTAATTAAAACTAACAAAATTTCAAAAGCAAAAATGAAAAATAACTCCCAAATTGTGCTTGGGCTAAATCGCTAAAAAGTGTTTCTTTAAAGCCATCTGGTGGAATCTTGATGTTTTAATCACTTATGTTTTTTGTTTTTTTTTTGGTAATGTTTTAAAATTTTTTTTTTTTTTAATACAGCTTCTATCTAGTGTAGTCGCCTATGTAACATGGGTTCATGAATGTGTATATGCTCGAAGCATGGTGCTCTCCGTTTTAAGTGTGCTTTTGCTGCCATCTTGTGTCATCTACATGGAACTACAAAACCAAGCCTTTAGTTGGAGGAATCCGTTTTTTGATACTTTTTTTCCCCACTGTACCTTCCGACCAGTAGCTCGTAGATAAGGATGCCCAGTGACCAGAAGTCAACAGCAAAGTCGTGTCCCTGGTTCTTGATGATCTCGGGGGCCATGTATTCAGGAGTACCAACAAAGGAGTACGTCTTCTCCCCGCGCACTAACTCTCTGGCAAAACCAAAGTCCACCTGCGTGGGATGAATAAAATCGATGTGATAAATATAACATGAAAGTGAGCAGAAATTGATGGCATGTTGTCGGTGGAACAGAACCGACCAGTTTGACGTAGCCGCGCACGTCCAACATGAGGTTCTCGGGCTTGAGGTCTCGGTACATGATGCTCTTTTTGTGGAGGTAAGCGTAGGCCTCCACCACGCACGCCGTGCAGAAAACGGCAATCTGCTCGTCAAAACGCCCTCTGACCAGCAGATACAGATTGCGGGGGTTTGGTTACTGGAGCATCAACACGTACAGCATATGATTGATTGTGTTTTTTTTTCCCCCTCACACTTCTTTGAGTTTGGTCCAGATTTCGCCGCCACCGCAGAACTCCATCACCATGTAAATGTAACGAGTGTCTTTGAAGGCAGCGTGTAGTCTGCAAAAAAAAAACAAACAATAAAATTTGAACACACCACACTTCATTTTTAAAGTCGCCGTAACATGAAAATACATTTCTTGTAAATTCGACACATGAGAGAAATTCACAACCTTTTCGAAGTTATTTTGATTTTTTTTAAATCACCAGATGTGTCATATGATGCTTCCAAATCATGAGAACTAACCCAAAACCTTGTTCTTCAGCCTTCTCTCAGTGATGTGCACACACTCATGGCTGACAACGAAGCGCTCTAAAGCAACCATGCCAGCCAGAAGCCTGAGTTTACATGCTGGCTGCCAAATTGGATTTTAATTTTTCTCTCCCTTCCCTTCCTGGCGCTTTCACCTTTCCTCACAGCCGTATGCATGCACTCATGGCCAACAACGAGGTGCTCTAAGGAGCTACACCAAACCGGAGCCCTGGTGAAGTCTGTGAAATCACACCCCCACCCTTTTCTTGTCTTGGTGCTTCTGCCTTTCTCACCGTGACCTGTACGCACTCGGGGTCATCAACGAGGCGCTCTAAAGTGACCATGCCAGTGGACTATCCAAAAGCACGATACAGGGAGAGCTAGCCAGCTAGCTAAATGCAAAAAAGTTTCATCTCCAGATTGGACTACTTCCCTCAGTAGTTCTCAGGCCTTTCACATGTATAGCAACTATCTCTGTTTCTATAATCACCTGACTTGACTTTACCTGACAATGAAGTCGCACTGGATGGCCTTGAGGATCTTCTTTTCAAACAACATGTGCTCCTCCTGTCTCTTGGCAACAATGTGCTTCTTACTCACTCGCTTCACAGCGTAATACTTTCCGTGGTTCAACGTGGTCATCTTCAGAAACAAAGAAAAAAGACAAAGCTTCAGTTCTGGCGATATAATCCCAATCCAGCATCTGTAGCAAGGCCAGGCAAGGTACCAGTTCGACGCGGCCGAACCCTCCGACTCCGAGGGTGACTGGGTCCCCTTGGTAGCGGCCCTCCTGGTACAACACGGGGACCAGGTCCTTAAATCTCAGAGTGGCCTTGGGGCTATCGTAGACAAAGAATTGCATATGATTCACCCTTTCAGGGACAGTGGTTTGTTAGCCAAAAAACGACCTTGCCTCTCACCTGGACTTTTCTGGAGCCTGTGCCTCCTGCAGCATCTTGGAGCTGATGACGAAGACAGGTGTGAACGACATCATTTTTCACAATACGGACGATAAAGAAGCAAAACATACTCATCAAACAGCTCCAAGTGCTCGACTGGGATTGTCTCCTCAAACACCCTTGAAAGAGAGGATTCAGAAATAAGCAAATGAGATGCAAAATAAATGAGATGGACAAAAAAGTATTTGGACATAATTAGTACGTCGCGGTAATGGCGACGCAGCGGTGCCTTGAGATATGAGGTCAGAACACTCAAATCAACTTTCCCCGTTTCAACTCCCGTATGAGCTCATCAGTGCGGCACCAATACCGGTCGTTCTACGCACGCAGAGGATTAAGAGTATATGACTGAGTACGGTTTTGTTGTCTGTCTGCGTTAAATCAGTTGCCAAAAGAAGCGCAACATGGATGCCAATTAGCATTAAGCTAGCAAGGCCTTCCTTTAGGCAGTTGTTGGGCTGTTTTAAATGCACGAGGTGTAATTCTCCCTGTTTAGCTTGATGGATATTCACAAGTCGGAGCACTTGTATCTCAAGGCACCTCTGGATTACAATAATTAAAGTGAACTCTCATATATCGCGGGGGATATGTTCCGGGCCCACATTATTTCTCATCTGGACTTACTCTTTGTCGATAGAGAAGCAAGTCACGGGGCCGTCAGCAGTGCAGGTGGCCGTTCTTAACACTTCACTGCAGTACACACACAAAAAAAAAGAGGAGAGATTCAATCGTTATGGTACTCAGAATCCACTTGTGCCACATGGAAAATATAAACAAGAACTGCAGCGCAGGTCACTGTCTCCGTTTCCATGACAATGTTAACATGCGCCTTTTATTTCAGCTTTGTCAACACACTCAAAACAGCAAACTATGAGTGGAATAGTTGTGAACGACACATATTCAACAAATTCAAATAAAGTTCTTCCTGTTTTGTTTTTTTAAACGTACCAGTTCTATTGGAAACATCCCGTTTTATTTTTGTCCAAAAATGCAACTCAAACTTTCACCCTGTCACCTGACAACATGATAAGCTGTCCACTGAAGTGGCCGCTGTGCCTGAAAGGGGTTAAAGTGTTTTAAAATGATGGCATCCGTTACATGTGGTGCCTTTTGGAATATTTGGCGAAGGAGAGCGATGTAGGGCATACATAAAATGCGCTACAAAATCCCTGCTATTGTCTAAATGATCAAAATCGACATCATACGGTTTTAGCTGGAGACACCTTCTGATCTATTTGCGTTTCTGTGTGTGTGTGTGTGTGTGTTTAGAGAGAGAGGGAGAGAGAACAGAAGAGTGAATGGTGCACACCACTGTCCTTGGGCGTGTAAGACGTCGCTATGGTTACCGTATGAGGGCCTGTTCCCCAAAATGCTCGCCCTTCCCCATCCGTCGAATCTGCTTCTGAAACCCGTTGACGCTTTTTGTCACCAGTACCTGATGGGAGGGAAAACACACAGCGTCAACATATATTCTGCATAGAGCACAAATATACAGTATAATAAATTCATAATAATAATAATAATAATAATACCTCTCCTTTAAGGATAATATAGAACGTGTTTGCTTCCGCTCCCTCTCGGACAATGACGTCTTTGTTCTGGTACTTCACCTAACAACGGGATAAGATAAGATATCCTTTATTTGTCCCACACTGGGGATGGTGACAAAGCAAAATTGTGTCATATGAAAATCTCGAAAAAACAAAAAAAAAAACAAAACAAAACAAACAAAAAAAATTCAGGTGTCAAAAACAAAAGGGCTGCACCTCCTCCATGGAGTCAATGATTTTGGATAACTGGACATCATTCAGGTCCTTCAGAGTCCGAGACCTTAAAAAATAAAAATAAAATTGTGAACTCAGCACTGGATCAGATACTGAATTTGAGGGGGAACTACGGTGGACGCACGTCTTCAAGAAGCCCAGGAGCTCCTCTCGTTTCTTCTTGGATTTGTTGGTGATGATGGTCCTGTAGGTCTGTCTCTCCATGCACCACAGACGCACCTCCGTCTTTGCTGCATGCAAAAAAAACCCAAAAAAAACTAAACATAAAAAAATAAGAATATTCTTTCCCGCCCCCATCTTCAAAATAGTCTTTTGAGGTCTCCTGGGTCTGAATCTTGTTGCTTTTATTCATGGACATGTCGTGCCGTATTGATTTACGAAAGCAAAAAAAAAAAAAAAAAGAAAAGACGCGAGCTGAATAAAGATGAAAGCCAAAGGTGTGAACGCTAAATAATTTACCATCCTGTCCGCTGTGTGATTCAAGTTCGTGGCCACAACATTAGGTAGACCTTATTTCACACACTCTCTCAACTCTGGCAAATATCTCAAATACGCCGAAAGCCACACCGAAATACTTTTTTTTTTTTTTCACAAGACAAATTGCACTCAATAATATATGAAAAAAAAAACGGGACCATTTCGCTCTCCTGCCAACATAGCTGCACAAAAACACAACCATATCAAAAAAAGTTTTGCTTTAATTTTTCCTCTGCGGTGTTTATCATCAGTTGATAAAGCAACATGTGGCGCAATAGCGCCGCCAAGTGGTGCTCTCCTTCTACTGCAAGGAAACTAACGTGAATTTATGTCAAGTGGATAGTGTCAAGTTGGCTGGCGCCATCTAGCGGTTGAGGGTGTGAAGCGCGTTTGTATCTCAATTTTTTTTTTTTTTTTGCCATTATCTCAAGAAAGGGGTGGGGGGGGGGGGCTTGTAAGTCAAGTCGCTCGTATCTCACAGCAGCGTGTGGGGCTATTTGCCGAAGCGATTCGCCTCCCGACGTGGCGTGTGGCGGATGTCGACGCTAACCTTTAACCGTGGCCGTTCGTTTGCAGTTGTACAGGATCGCCAACTCTCCGAAGACATCGCCGATGCTCAGGGTTCGGAGGTCGCGGCCCGCTTGGGTGACGAGGAGCTCGCCGGCTATCAGGAGAAACAAAACCCTTGTAATCGGTAAGATTGTTCGCCATCTTGGAAAGCGCAAACGCCTCACCATAAGTGGCCGCCGGTTAATACCTGTAAATTGTTATGTTATTATAATGTGACAACGGCAATGAACGATTATTTTACGAACGGATTGATCCGTCGATTGCTGCCCACTGTAATTCTCAATTTGATAACGCATTGGTTATCGATGAATCGTTGCGCACTCACACCTGCCACGATGTACATGCTGTCCCCTTCGGATCCTTCCTTGATGACCTCACCGCCGCGGCTGACGTTGGACGTTTCCAGGAGGTCCACCATCATGGCGATTTGCTCGTCGTCCAGCCGGCTCAGGAAGTCGTTCTTCTGGATGGCTTTCACGATGAGGTTAGTCTCGCTAGACATCCACACACACACACACACACACACACACACACACACACACACACACACACGCACAAGAGCAACATTACTGTTTGAGTAGTAGCAGTAGCAGAATGCTTCTCTTCCACTAGATGGCAGTTGTCTGTTGCCAAGTCACACCACAGAAGAACGTTGTCAACTTGTGAGTCAACTGAGATACCGTATTGGCCCAAATATAAAACGGTGTTTTTTGCATTGAAATAAGACTGAAAACGTGTGGTCGTCTTATATTCAGGGTCTAGACGTTATACAGATTCGCGACGCTAGATGGCGCCAGATATCATTGCAGCGAATGCTGAAGTTGACTCCCCAGGCCAAAGCGAACCCTTGTCACGAAGAATAGAAATAAAAATAGCGGTAGGATGAAGAAGAAAAATAAAAAATAGCGGTAAGAAAGAAAAGAGAAGAAAATAATAGAAGAGATAACAGAAAATGGAGAAACGTAGCGACAATCTGGAGAAAAGTGGGTCGAAGATCAGCCAGGTTAACTGGCAGCTGAGGAGAAGTTATGATGTCATTTACATTTCAAAAATCAGAAGCCATTCATTTACGAATGTGATTGCATTTTAGTTTACAACCCATGTGCTGCAGTCGATGTAAATAAGTTTATATAACGCAACATACAATTTTACAAAAATTGTAAAAGTATTATTCCTGAATATTTATTTTACTTTCAACCACTCGACATGTTCAGTGGCATCAGTGCTATACATACACATATAGTTCTTATTTTTTTCTTTGTATTTTTGCCCTCTATGGACAATAAAAGCGGTATTGTGCTATGACCAAAACATAAATATAAATCTAGGAATATTTCATATCACACAATTTTTATGCTTTGTCTTTGATTTCAAGATGACAATACGCAAAAATCTACAAAAATTGTAGAAATTGTAACACATGGGTTACATGTTCAGATATTAAGATTTGAATGAGGCAAAATAACATGCTTTTTCTCTCAAATATATTGTTATAATCATTTGTTTCAGATGTATTGTAATTATTTTCTGTATAAAAATTAAGTTGGTGTTCAAAAAGTCTTTTTTCAAACTTGAGTCTTGAAAAAGAAGGGGTCGTCTTATAATCAGGGCTGTCTTATATTCGGGCCAAGACGGTAGGTTTTTATTTTGGCATTCACATTTTTTTTTGTGACCTGATTTTTGTTTTTATGTCAAAAGGGATGCTTTGGTTCCATAAAAGTTAGGAAACACTAAATATCTGACTGGAATGGCATAACATGGCATCGAGTGGATTGAAGGCTGACCTGTCGGTTTTCTTGACTCTGGACTTCCTGATATCGAGCGTCTCCGGGATGGGTTCCGGCGCGATGACGGCAGCGCGACTTTTCCTGAACTCGGGTTCGATCTCAGCGCCACTCGAAGGTGGAAACTCTGGAAATCAATTCGTGAGAGTTAGCGGCCAGCTTGTCAGTTTCGGAGCCCATCAAGCGGGTGAAGAGCGCTTACCGAGGTCGTGGTATTGAGCGTGCAGCTCCTGAAGGAGTTTCTCTTTCTCTTGCAGACGTTGCTCTAAGAGGACAAGAAGAAGAAAAAAAAAGAAAAAAAAGAAATTCATGACTGAATAAATTAAGAAATGTTCAAAAAATGACAATGTAATACATTAAAAGTGTAAAATTTACAAAACAATTACTTCAAAAAGCTGCAAAAAAATTAATACAACAAAAGATTGCGTATTTGTTTTAAATGGCAAAATAGTGACAAATTTAGAAGTAAAATCATCTAACCTTTAAAAGTGTAACCATGACAAAAATGTTCAAGTTAGAAAACAACAACAAAATAATGATGAATGAATCTTTTTTAAAAGTACAAACTAAAAATAGGAAAATACACATAATAAAAGGTTCCTAAAATTTGAAAATTTGAATCTCAATTTTAAAAAAAAACAAAAGAATAAACAAATTAAAGAATTTCAAAATCAAAAGATCTTAAATATTTAAAAATTCCAAATTGGAAATGTTGAATTTTTTTTCAGCTACATTTTTGAAATCTACATTTTTGAAAATCGAACCAAATTTCAATGAAAATGTTACCAAATGATAAAAAAAAAAAGAAAAAAAGAAAAAAAGATTAGAAGATGACGACAAAAGAAGTATATGACTGTGAACAAAAAAAAAAAATGTAGAAAAAGCATATATGTAGACATAAAGTGGGATGAGGAGAAAAATCAATCCATCGACAAAAACAAGTGCGTCACAAATTGCTTTTAAATGTGCTGGCTGCATTGTACAGACCCAAGTCTTTATTTTGCCTCTGCAGCTCCTTGTTGATGACACATTGCTTCTCCAGCTGCTGCCTCAGCTCCTCCACTTGCTTCTCCATCCCTGCACGCACGGCGAGCGCAACAATGACAAGCCCATCGGCTCAACTCAACCCCCTGCATGCCCTGCGCTCTGTCGTCAGCGCCCAGCGTGAGCCCCCCCTCCCCCCCCGCTGAATAATGCACACTTGCCACGGGGGGTCAACGGGTGGGGGGCCATGGGAACGCTGCCACACATCCTGCCCGCGTCGGCTAATGAGCTACTCTTTGTTTCCTGCAGTTTGAGGAGGCGCAATTTCCGACACCGCGCAAATAACATCAGACAGTTCGGGAAAGTTGGGTAAACTGTTTGCATTAGCTTGACAGCGGCGGTGGCGGCGGCGTCATTCCGTCGGCTACGAGCGCCACACCCTCTGGAAGTTCAACATCTGTCATAAGGCGTGCTGTTAAAAATCCCAGGAAGGGAATAAAGGGCCGGCGGGGCAGAAAAAGTTGCTTTTTCAAGAAGCGAGAAGAAGACAGAGGCACAAAAGCAAGACATTGATAGACACGTTGATTGTGTTGACTTTTGAAAAACGCACACCTAGAAGTCAAGCTGACCCCACGGTGTTTTATTGCTGGCACTGGTACGCGCACAGGCGCACACACACATTCGTATACACACTCACACGTGGCTGAAAATGTGCACAATTTGGAAATGAAATCATTTCGGCTTTGAAAATGCCCGAATGGACTTAAAAGAAGCCTTTTTTTTTTTTAAATCATATTTGGCCACCTAACAGGAATGAGCTGCATTTATGTCATATTTTACGTCAAACTGCAAAATATGAGGTAAAATTACAAGCAAACTTTTTTCTGCTGGTATTATTTTTATGTCATTTTTTATTAAATGCATTATTTTAATTACATACACTCCTGTCTATACACATGGGTATACAAAAGACATTAGTGCAAAGTTGGAAAAGTAGAAAAACAATCAGCGTACAAAATATATATATATATATTTTTTTTTTTAACTTTATGTATTTCATATTTTTTGGGGTCAAACTGATGTCTTGTCATGAAAGTTAAAAAAAAATGGAAAGAAACTGATATTGTTGTATTTGAATTTTAATGCTGTTTTTTTTTCCAAATATTTTATTTTTGATAACTAAAAGTAGACATCAGTCAAGTAAGAATTTTTTTACAATTTGAATGAAAAGTATTCTGCTAGCCTCATTTTGGTCGTTTTCTCCTTTCTATACAGTATTTGCTATTATTGCATTTAAATGTTGGTTTCTTGCATTTGCATTATTTTATCTTTGCTGACTAAACATTTGCACAAAAATATGACCCATTATATATTTTTTGAATGAGGAAGAAACAATTTATCGTCAGTATATGATTTTTTTTTCCTTTTTTTTTTTTAATGACTAGGAAGCAGCATGAGGGTTGAACCTGGTGGCCATTTGTGTGCATGTTGGAGAAGGAAGCGGCCACTCACCTGCAGGCTTGTACAGGAGGTCAGCAGACAGGACGAGGGCCTCACGTAGGCTGCATATGGGTTAGTATCCCCAAATATTCTCAACTTTGCACGCTCTTGACTTCCCTTCTTTAGTATCCGACTCTTTCGCAGTCCTTTTTTTCTTTTTTGCCTTGCTGCCTGGCTGTCAATTTCAGCAGCTCCTCAGGCATTGAATCATTTACCGTCACCTGACGCTCCTCCTCTCTCTCCAGGTGGGGGAAACACTAAGAGGAGGAGGGAGGGGGGGAGGGAAGAAGCAGAAGATGTCTATGAAAATGGATGCAGGAGGTGTTAACAAAAGCAACATCAAGTGCAGTCAATGAGGGCTGCAGTTATCGAATATTGGTAGAATCGATTAATGTACCGATGACCTTATCGGATGAAATGGGATTTTGAATTACTTAACAAAATGTGCATTCAATCCAAATTGGGTTGCCAACCTCTTCTTCCAAGAAAAAAAAAAAAAGTGTGACTTTGGGTGTTTAAAAGGCGGGCCCTGGGCTGGTGAGTGACGTGGGAGTCGACGAATGAAAGTGTAATTAGCAGTCGTGAGCTCAGCTCAAATTGGCTTTGAAGCCATTGAATTAACAATGCTGAAAAGGCATTCAGGAAAGCAGAATTACAAAAAGAGAATATTACTTTTTCCGACACTAAATACCCACTTGAACGCAACACTGACTACTTCTACTCAATTACTCTAATAGATTTTTTGTTTTTTTTGTTTTTAATACCAAGAGTCATTTCCTTTCCAGGCGGCACGGCGGCACACGTATCTAAATGAGGCTAAAGGGTTAGCGTTGTGACAAAGGGCGTGGGCGTTTTATCGGCGCTTCGGGTTAATTATTGATTGGTCGCCGTGGTTAATCAGCGACACCGCTGACCCTCAAGCACAGATTAAAGGCCTTCCAGGGGGGAAGGGTTGGGATTTAACATTCAGGGGTGATATGGTGTGTGTGTGTGTGTGTGTGTGTGTGTGTGTGTGTGTGTGTGTGTGTGTGTGTGTGTGTGTGTGTGTGTGTGATACCTTGATGTAGAAAACCAGCATATCGCATCGCACCTTCTGGATTTCTTCATGCCATGCACACTCAAGATGTAATTGCGCTACCTGATGGGGAAGCTGGGAAATTACCATTTGATCAAACCAAACGATTAGTTTTACATTTGTGATTGTATTTATTTGTATTGTTATCTAGACATAAGGACTTATTATTATCGAAAAAAAAACTAATTTATTAAAATGCAATTTGTATTTTTACTATTTCTACACATTTTTAATGCTATACATGGTAATATATTGGTTGGATTGCCAATTATGACTCAAAAAATACTTTAAATGACTTCATCAGATACAGTACAGATCCATTAATTGGAATGTTTCTACCTGTTCTACATGCTGGCGATGTTGGGAAACAACATTTTGATCGGTCATTCAATTCAGTGGTCCCCAACTATCGGTCCGCGGACCAGTAGCGGTCCGCGGCCTGTTTGGGACCGGGCAGCACACAGACAGACCTGCGAGATGTGAGCAAATTTGCTTCATCAGAAGTGGGGGGAAACTACTCGCGCCAATCCGAGTCCTCCTTCTAACCTTGGTTTACTAGTTGAAATAAACAGAATCCGCCAATAAATGAAAGAAGCAGCAATAAACAAAAAGGAATCGTAAGAAATAGACGTACATCGAAACGCGCAGTTGATGGGCAGCCATGATTTCCGAAGATGAAGCACTTTTGACAAGAGAAGTTCCTCCCCTCGCGGTTTCTCCAGAGCGACGTGGAGGAGGAAGTTGTTGTGCGTGTTTTATCGTCAAAAACCAGACAATAAAAGAAACCTGTTGATTCATTTGAACAAGTAGCTAAAATGCGAGCGTAGTTGGAACAGCCTGCCCACGTAAACGTTAGTAGTTTAGCCGCTAATAAGTAGCTAGCAGCCACCGTATGAAAGCAACGATCAATTGTGTCACCTTTTCATCAGTCCCATTTGCAAGTAGCAATCATGCTAACGTCGTATGTAGGATCGTAATTTTAAAATGATTATATACATTATAAGGCGTATTTATTTTTCCTAATTGGTCCATTTGTTAATAGTTCAATGTGTTCTTTTATTTTACGTTTGTTGTGCGGTAGAATAAAAGGAATAAACGTGAATAAAATGTTGAATTACTCTATATTGTTGTTGTCATTACCAATGCTTTCAAAGTGGCAATGTAAAAGCAATGAAAAAGAAATGGTTGCCGGTCCGTGAACAGTATGTACTTGTCTCAACCCGTCCATGACAGACACACAAAAATAAAAAAAGGTTGGTTGAACCCATTGATTGAACCCTCTGCCAGTGTCATAAATGGGAACTCCGTGGTTGCCATGACAACCCCACATCTGTGATGTGGTGGTGCACTAGCCAGGAAGCACCACTCATGTTAAGTCATATGAGTCTTGACTTGTCGAATCACAGGTGCGACGTCGAACAAAGAAACCAAACAAAAGTCAACCAGTCTTTAAAGAGCAGCCATTTTGAAGTAGCTGATGTTTAATTTAGGTGATTAACTTGAGTGGCTCACAGGAAAACACAAATGAAAAAAAAAAAAAGAATATTTAAAAGTCTTTTTTTTCTTTGCATGATATTTGCAAGTGGGACGGTGTCATGATTTCATTCAACTTGATTAACAGCCAAAGTTCTAAATGGAGACAGCGAGCATATGAGGTAGACGTGGTTCATCCTACATTGTGTTTGTTCTGAGCCCCCTCCTCCTCCACCCTCTTCAAAAAAGAAAAATTGTGGCGTGGTCGTTTTTTTTTTTTTTGTGTGCTACAAGTGTACATTCAGCTGCACGCCAGGCCACAGGCTTGGCGGACATCCTGCGGGTGTTCCAAGACGGCTCGGACGAACTGGCTGAAGACACGCTCCATGTAGCCGGCGGCGCGCGGGAACAAACCTTCCAAGAAGGCGATGTGCCCACCGTGGGACGTCACCACAAGCGCCACGTTGGGTAGGTCTTTGGCTACACTCAACGGAAAAGCTGTGACATACACAGACATGCTTATGTCAACCATATTCAACCCCAATTTAGTGCACAATTAACCAACTTTTAATCATAATTACGATTTTGGCTGCAACGATTTAATTAAACCCACTTGTCGACAATATTGACATTTAAAATGCTTGCTCTACCGCTTATCTAATGAAGCGCTTTCTCAACTAGTAGTCAACCTACCACCAGGGGGCGAACGCATAGTTAAGTCTTCCTTTAAATCGCCTTAAATAGCAAGCAAGTTGAATCAAGGCGAGAGAAGAAAGTTCAACAAAAAAATTGGAAAGGAGGAGCTCGTGTTTTGAATGGGATCAATGTTCGTTGACTGGGCTTCATCATGATAGCATTCTGTAATTGATAGTCCCTTGATATATACCGTCTGGGGGGCTAAGCTTGAAATACTTCCTGTTTTCACTCTTCTTCTATTACATTTACTGTGTTAGATACCACCTTGTGGCCGACGGTGAAATTACACACAACAAACGGGGCACAACAAGGGAGGGTTGTAATTTACCCCAAAAATAAATAAATAAATAAAATTGAAAAAAAGGAAAATAGCAGGAACTCAAATCCAGACCGCAGCGATGAAAGGGCGTTCACTATACACGTTACAAAAAGCGGTGCAATAAAAAATATTTATGCTATATTAAGCAGACAGAATAACTGCGATTCAAAATCATGATTACAATACTGCTCAAAACAATCGTACTTAGCCCTACTATAAAAGTATCCCTCGTATACAGAACACGTGGCAGAAATATTTGTGTAACTGACCGCATTGCGGGGAAAAGGGGTCGTCGGCAGCGTTGAGGCACAGAACGGGCACGGCGATACTCTGGAGCTTCCAGTCGGGGCTGGCGTGGCGGTAGTACTCCGTGCACGACTCGTAGCCAAACAGCGGCGCCGTGAAGCGCTCGTCAAATTCACGGATGCTGCGTGCCTAACGCAAAAATATGACAGTTGGGGAAGTTTTTGGCATATTCTTACACTTTTTTTGCTCACACTCACAATTAATTTATTTCCCGATGGTCGCAGCTTTATTCGCGTCTAGATTTGCCTTTTATTCTTGAAATATTTTCATTTTCTTCCCTTTAAAACTGAATCATGACTTTCTTTGTGACCTAATTCTCGTAAAATGCCAACTTTTTTCCTTGTTAAAATTCAAATTACCGTTCTCATGCTGTTCCAACATAATTTTTTTCTTGTAATTTTTGACGTTTTTTTCTCATACGTATATAATTCAAATGTATCCTGAAAATAAATAATAAATAAAATATTAAAAAAATAAAACTATTTTCATATTGAATTTTGTTTTGTTTTTTTAAACAAAATTACACATTTTCTCTTTTAAAAATTTTGACTATCATCTTTCAATTTAACGCTTACAAAATTGTGACACATCTTGAAAATTTCAATACATTGCTACTATTCATCTTGAAATATTCCCTCTCTCTTATTTACGCTATTTTCTTAAAGTGAAATTGATTTTCGATTCAATCTCATTCTCAAAAAATGATGACTTTCTTACCCTACTCCAGCTACATAACTAAACACTCTTTCTACTGCGCACCTTGAGGACGTGGTCGATGTCCACCACTTTGTCCAGCATCTTCCTGTGCCTGCAACATACACATACACATGAAAAACCTTCCCTTTTTTCCAAAACGGAACTTAAAACTTGAATAAAACTCGAAGTGACCTGAGCACGGCGCGACACAGTCCTCTCGTGAGGTGTGTGTTGAAGAGCAGCCAGTTGAGCGCTTCCTCCATGCTTTGCGCCGACTTAAGCGCATCCCAGGGTACAGAGACTGTCAGGCCCGCCACCAAACCCGACTCGGCGCCTTTCCGGCCGAGGTAGTTCAGCAGTAACATGCTGCAACGGGTACAAAACGAGGCTTGATTGCTTGCTACATAAGCGATTGAGGGAAAAGATGATTTTGGGTGCTCACTTACCCTCCTAAAGAGAAACCCACGGCAAAAACTGGGGCTTGTGGGTAGAGGCTTTTCACATGTTGGACCACCAGCTCCAGATCGGACGTGTTGGCGGCACAGAAAGTGAGCGGTGTCTGAAAGTTGCACAGAGACACCAAAACGTGAATTAATTATGATTCAGTTACTGGTTTGGTACGTGTCATAGCAGAACATAAGCAAAAATTCCAAAGTAAACGTTTTTTAAAATTTTTTTTTTTTTATTCAACTCGAATATTTTTAGTCTAACACTCGCAAGTCCAGGTAATAATTTATGGAGGACTTACAAGTAACTCCTCCCCGCCGAAGCCTCTGTTGTTGAAGACCACACATCTAGAAGAGCAACATATTTGCATGACTCAACTCTTGCCGGCAAGATATAAACGGCGCAGCGGTTGTTTGGCAACCTGTAGCCGTGGGCTGCGGCCTGCGTGACGGCGTGCAGCACGTAAGACTGCGAGCTGTTGCCAGTCAAGCCCGGCAGGATGAGGACGGTGGGCCGCGTGGACGCTCGCCGATAGGCGGCGCTGCTGTCGTTGTCCTCCCAGTCCAGCGAGATCTGACCGCCATCGGCCGTGCGGATACGCTCGCTGTCGGACACATTTCGGGGAGGTCGGTTATTTCATTTAAAAAGGTTTGAAAAATAAAAATCACGCGCATGAGTGCGATGTGATGATTTGAGGATTGAGCCTGACTTGCGATAAGCGACGTGCGGTCTGGACTTGATGAGGAAACATAGTACGGTTTGAAGACGGCCTCCCCAGCACCACGGGGTCGGGCTGAAGGTCTCGGTCACCGCGGGACAGTGCTCCTCGAGGAAGTCACGGAAGTTCTTGCCGCACACCAGCAATGGCCTCTGGTGGGAGTAGCACAGGAAGAACTGAAATTGCGAGTCGCAATTAACAATGAAGCATGCTAATAATTATATCATAATTATTTTTGGTTGATGGACAGCTCAGCCCATTTGGACTTTGTTCATAACCAGAATGACAGCTTTTCAGGTGCTACGTTTGCTGTGGTAAGGTAGGCTACTGAAGTCTTCAGAGCTTTCAGCCATTAAGGAGAAAATATTAGACGACGATGGGGTTATTATGAATCAATCCCGTAATGAATGACATTATTTTTCATAAGTTTGGTTTGAATAAATACGCCCGTTCGTCAGTGAATATAAAATGTGTGGAATTGCTCATTTTAACTTGGATCACCTACCGGGAATGATCTAATTAAATTAATTAATTCCTATAAATCAATAGAAAGTAAATCATATATTATAACAAACCAATTTGGAGCGAAATGTCTAAATGAATGCATACAATATCTGATTTACTTAATAATGTAAGTGCACCGCAAAATTAAAATACATTTTGTAAAAACGTTTAATTATTATTCCGTTACTGAAATTCGCGTAGAAACAGAGAAGGCTCCCGATGTTGTGATTTCTACACTAATGAATAACTCCAACAAAATTAATAATAACAAGAAATGAATTCATTGGAAAATCTTGACTGGGGCGCCTCACCTGACTCTTGCGGCCCCACAGGTAGCAGAGGGCGGCCGTGAGGGAGCAAAGCAGTACGGTGTCAACCCTGGAGACCAACTCCCAATGGACCGTCCACAGGTCCAACAGCGCCAATAGCATGACGGCGACTTCAATATGAAGCAGTTGAATAAACAAAGAAACCAGCGTTCGACATTAATGAGCGATTAAGCGACACATGAGAATTCAAATCAGATTACCCAGTTTGTCCCGTTAGACGCTGACAATGGCACCCGCCCTCCGCTTGACTAACGGAATGAGCCACTTCCGGGTTGCTTGTCAACTCACATTACGTCATTAATGTATAAAGGCTATACTGTGTATTTCATTTTTAATCACTATTATGATTATTATTATTATTGAGGCTGCGGAAAGACGTTATGGGTTTTCTACATGCTAGATCCTATGAATTAAATAGAATCTAATAAAAAAGTCTTATGTTCAAACAGGAAGTACCGCCATAATGTCACTATGCTTATCGACTACAAACATGGCCACAAAACTACGCATGCGCAGACGCCTAATATAGGTTTTGAAGTGTTGTGCGTGTGTGTGTAAACAAAATGTTCTGTAACAAATACAAAATGAACTACCGGTACATTTTAACAACGTATTATACAGTAATGATATTGTGACTGAAAAGGCTGCAATACTGTTTTATTTAGAGATCTTCCACGAATTGTCATGAATATCCACCTGGCGTACTTGTGAATTGTTGTTCAACTCCTCCCATGAATCTGAATGGTAGTAAAAAAACATTTCAAAATTTTGAATTTGTTTTCTCAAATTCAAGTCTGTTTTATGCTGTTTGATTAAGGCAAAGGTTTTTGTTTTTTCTTGAAATCGCATTGCTAGACAAAAGGGTGTTTTCGTTTACCTGGCAGTCAGCGCTCTTCCCATTCCGAGAACGAAACAAGCCCTGCTCCATGGACTTGTCATTTTTACATGTATCACAGTAGGCGAGTCACATGCCGATTTAATGAATACGTTGTCATACGCAACTATTTCTCTCTCTATATGGCATGTCACACGATGTTACAGTGAAAAACCGTTTGGTAAGAAAAGGCAAGAGTAGTCGCAAAAAGAAACTAAATCTGCTCTCTTTGACAAGTCCAAATCTTGAAATCATTTCCTTTCCACTTTTATTTGCTCTGACATGTACAAACCAATCTAATGAGTGTCACATTACACAGCAATGTTTTCTATGGCTTCACCTTTGGTGTCTTTGCGCTGGCCAAAGCTCTATTAAGGACACTTCACTAGCAGCCTCTCAATGCACTCATTTACACTCCACATACACTCACACAGTACTATTAATCATTCTCTTTGTTTAAAAAAAAAAAAAAAAAAACACCTCAAAATTATAAACATATTTCTACAAGGGTTCGAAACGTACACAATTTTTTTTTTGCTTCAGAGTCGCATATGCAAACTTAATTGGAGCAAAGTAAGAACTACAACATTGTCCAAAATGGCTGCTTTAAACCAAAACTTGCTGTTCGATTGCATGCATGAGTCCTTGCGCCTTTTCTTTCAATCCTGTTTAAGACAGAGATGTCCACCCAATTTTGAGTGCATTGGTAAAAGTGGTGTTAGAGGCTCATTGTTTTTTTTTCCTCACGCCTCAAGAATGACACCAGAGGGAAGGAAAAAAAAAATTAAAAAGCAGCTTAGCTTGCCAAGGAGGAATAAACCACAAAACGGTCACTGTCCTGCTCAATTTGAGCCATGGGTGTACTTGATTTTTTCATGGATGCTGTGACCATTTTGCCTTTTTTGGACAGTTTTCCGGGATGGTTTAGCTCCCCCAAAAGGTGAAAGAAGAACCATGAACAGGGATTTGCAGAGGTGAAACCTTGTGCGCAGCCGTTTGAGCATTCATTCGACAGACTTTGAATCCTCCTTAAGCCTCCAATCCAGCTGCATTTTTCTATTATGGCGCAACTGTAGATGGGATATGGTGGAACCTTGATGGCCATAACACTTCCTCACCTCCACCTGTGGGGGTCTGTGTGTGATGTCTTTCCCCCAAATCCATCCTGTGCTCTCCTTACAACAGTCTGGGGTTGTTTTTTTTTTTTTTTTTGTCCTCGCCCTCTCTAATGTTGGTTATTGCATTTCAATGTCTTTTGGGGTGTGTCTGTTCCCTTGTGGTGCACTCCCCAAATAGAGAAAACGGGCAAAGAAAAAAAAATGAAGGACATCATGTGGATATTTGAGAGACTCTTGACAGTGATTGCCCATTCACCGCCTCAACTCTTGCATTTTGGGTGACACAAAGACTCTCCACACTTCACTTTATAAGCCACAGAAACTTGTGAAATTAAAAATAAAATGTTGTATTATTGTAAATTCATTTCAAAGGTATTTGGTCACATCGTTTGGTGTACGGCGAGCCTTCAGCTAGACTTTGAAGAAATGCTCAAACAGCCTTCCATGCAACGTGTGACCAAGTGCTTATTTGCGGTGTGTCCATTCACTGCGGTGTGTCCAAGGGCAGTGAAGAGGCTATCTTGAGTCTGATTTGTTGTTCTTTTGTAGAAATTTACTGTCCCTGCATATCGCCGGCACCCTGCGCCTGCGTCGCCGCGGCGCTCAGGTACTGCCAGCTGACAGCCGCCAGCAGCATGGCGGCCGACAGGTACACGGGCGACAGGTGTTGGCTCCTGACGGGCACGTCCGACGCCTGAGATTTTTCCCGAATGAGCGCCAAGATCCGTAGCGTTTCGTCCCGTGACGGGTCAGAAAGCGAGACCTTGTGCAGAATCTGCAAGGAAAAAACACAAGCTTAGAATGTTGATGTTTGGTTGACATAATGACAATGAATCATACTGTGTTACTGTACTGGAGTAGGATTTGATTTTTAAATTTATTTTTTTTAACTTTACTCGAGTTATTTTCCGAACGAATTTTTACTTTCGCTCCCCACATTTCAAAACGGGAGACAGAAAAGATGCCCACCTCCTGGCTGTACTGGCTGATGATGTTCTGCACGGCTCGCATGTTGGTGGCCTCCATCATGAGAGTGACAGCCTGTCCCTTTCGGATTTTCACCACGCCCTGGAACACCAGGGGGTTGTTGTAGCACGATGACAGAGTAGCTATCGCCATCACCTGTCAAACAAAGGAATCACAACAGCTAAACCGACATTCATTTGAAATCGAAAAAATGATCAGTAGTCGCCTTACCTGAGGGATAGCGCAAAAGTTGAACACACTCTGGTTGCGCAGGCGGGCCAGGTAGGCGATGACGTCCGGCACATGGCGCAGCGCATCCGTGACCAGCAGGTTGAGACACGACAATGCCGACTCCAGCTTCTCAGGCTGTGCCAAGTCCTCCAGACGACCCGCAAACTGGCTCCACGCCTTGCATTAATATAACATTTAGAAAAATTCAATGTATTTTTTTTTACTAAGCAGGAGAACAATTATTGCTGAGCACATACCGTATTGGCCCGAATATAAGACGGCCCTGATTATAAGACGACCCCCTCTTTTTCAAGACTCAAGTTTGAAAAAAAGACTTTTTGAACACCAAATTAATTTTTATACAGAAAATAATTACACTACATCTGAAACAAATGATTATAACAATATATTTGAGAGAAAAAGCATGTTATTTTGCCTCATTCAAATCTAAAGTGCAATCACATTCGTAAATGAATGGCTTCTGGTTTTTGAAATATAAATTACATCATAACTTCTCCTCAGCTGCCGGTTTACCTGGCCGATCTTCGACCCACTTTTCTCCAGATTGTCACTACGTTTCTCCATTTTCTGTTATCTCTTCTATTATTTTCTTCTCTTTTCCTTCTTACCACTATTTTAAATTTTTCTTCTTCGTGCTACCGCTATTATTATTTTTATTCTTCGTGGCAGGGGTTCACTTTGGCCTGGGGAGTCAACTTCAGCATTCGCCTCAATGATATATGGCGCCATCTAGCGTCGTGAATGGGTATAATGTCTAGACCCCGAATATAAGACGACCCCCACTTTTTCAGTCTTATTTCAATGTAAAAAACACCGTCTTATATTCCGGCCAATACGGTATTTAAGGACTTCTTTCATGTCCCTTATTTGGTCTTAACAAAAGCGATGCAATGCAAACAACACACATAAAGAGAAAATGTTCCCACCTCTTGTGGCCAGAAGGCACGTCCCTCCTTTGTGTCCTCCAGATAGTCTCGGATGATGTTTGTTTTCTGGAGGAACAGGCCCATGGAGTTGGCCAAGTCCGTGTCCCAGCCCACCTCCGGCTCCTCCAGCTGGGACGCCGAGAAGAGGCGAGAGAGGCCTATGCCCACCAGCCCTGCCACATAGTGGCAATACTGCAAATAGAGACGCGGTCACAATGTGCTCAATATTTGGCAACAGTGTGCAGAGTGCATCATGTGAAAACGTAAAATATTTGTCCCTGAAGTGAAAGCACGTCTTTTCTCGTTCCTTAGCAAGACTCCACGTCACAATTGTGCCGGTTAATTGCTGATGTTAACCCTTTCAGGGACACCTTTCAAACATATATCACGTATTTCAAAACAAATCTGAAATCAGTTTACAAGGTCTTTAAGATGTTCTGGGAGTTGTGCCATAAAAGTACAAGGATCACCTTGTCCCACTCTTTCATGGATCCCACTTTCTTCTCTAGGAATTCGGCCATTCCGACTCCCATCCGGTGGCAGATGTCTGAGATGACTTCCCGGTACTCTTCAGCCAGGTTTCGGAACTCCAAAGATATCTGCCGATTGTTGGTCAGACAAATATTTAGCCAAAACGCGACAAAATGTAAGAACGCTACAAACTACATCCATAAACTTATTGTTATCGGTAATACCTGTAAAAACAAAGAGGTGTTATCTTTGCTAGGGCACGAAAATGCAGTGGCCATTAGATCGATATCCCTCACTATAAAGTTACTGACCGTGGGGAAGTCCTCCAGAACTTGTCGGTCTTTCTCCTGGCTCTCGCTGAAGCTCCAGGTGTCCTGGTACAGGTAGGTGTGGAAGTCATTCAGCATGGGAACCTTCCTGTCCAGGGGGATGCTCATGTCGTCCTCCACCGTGTCCAATGCCCGTAACACCAGGTAGAAAATGCACACGGCGTGTCTAAAATAAGAAAGGGACAGTGAGCGAGAGCATTGGAATGAAGGGGGTTTGGGGGGATAGCAAGGGTGACTGGTTTGCCAACTGTCAGTGGACGACACAGAAGAAGAATAAGGAACTATTTTACATACGATAAATGTAAAGCACCAGTTTATTTCTTTACATCCTCATGCATTGAATTAGATCTAGAGAGTGTCATTTTCTCTTTACCAAGAACAACAAAAAAACGCAATAGGCGTTCCAAATCGTTTCAAAGGGGAAAATACATTTGCTGAATGTTAATTGGTCTCAGGACACACTGATTTGTTCGCTTGAGCCAACGTTCATGTTTATGAATCCACCCTGTCCTGTCATCGGAGATGTCCCTTTGTCATCAAAAATTACAAAGACACACTCCGATCAAAGCAAATAAAAAGCAGCAACCATTTACAAGTAGTGCAGCAAAGCAATGGGGAGAGATTCGTCTCCCAAAGTTTTTCACACAAATACATCTGTAATTTTCACGTGTTTTTCAGATCTACAAATATATTTTCAAATTTTCACGCATTTTTCAGATCCAAAAATAGTTTCTAAGAATCTCTTCTTCCACTTTCGCTGCTTTGGCAGTTGATACAAGAGCGTAGAAGAAGACCGATAAGTACGCCTTCAGTGCAAAGCAATCTCGAGTGAATCAAAATATAAATATTTTGTTTCTCAATTTGTGTTCAAAACACAATAGAAGATCATCTCATGGCTAGCATTTTTTCTTCCAAATTCAAATGTTTAAACGAAAACATGTCTGAAAACTTGCTCCCGTTCAATGGAGGCAGCAACACTGCCTCCTAGTGGACAGAAGGAGGACGGGCCTTTCCACAAGTAAACATTTGCAACCTCTGTCTGAATATGCTGCGTGACGAATGTCTCGAAAAAAACGCACTAACCCACATTCAACAATGCACAAGCACAACGGAATATTTAGTAATATTAAGAGCTGATTCATTCACACACACATCACTGAAAAACACAGATGAAAACGACAAATATACTTGTGCATCTTCAAAACGAGATAAATCTCTCCTCAGACAAAACATTGTCCCTGTCGCATAAAGTCAATGAAATATATATTTGCTTCCCATAATACCTTGAATCATTGCGATTAAAATACTGATTAAAATGATCGTGATTGTTAATCTTGACCAGAGTGGTGCTGCCCGACGCGTTGGCCTGGCTTCTTCTTTGAGGGAACACGACAGGCACACAGACCATGAGGACACAACCTCGGGGGCGGAGACCACGCTTGTTTGTGTACAGTACCCCGACTCCGACTCACCTTAGGTCGCCGTCCAGGGCCTGAATGACTGCAGCGAAGCTCCTGCTGGTCTGGTTCAGGTACATGTAACACGTCCTCAGGCTCTGGCTCATGGACTCCTGGCACGACAGACAACACAAGGCCGCGTGACGACCGAAGCCTGCCGCTCTCAGAGCGCTGGACGCCCGGGCGGCCTCCCGCAGGCCCCGCTCGCCCAGCCTCCGGCCCGACAGCAGAGAGCGGGTACAGGCGGGCGTCGGACCCCGCGGCGCGACCGATAGAGAGCGCTTGAATACGGCCAGCGAAATGGGACACTTGCAGCACGCCCCGGCGGCCATGCGATGTCGGTGTAGCCCGAGTGGACGAGCGAGAAGCCGCGGCTGCTCGGCTCGACGCGGGGGTGCCTGTGGAGGGCGAACAGCTCCTGAGCCAACCTTGGAGGGGGGCACTCGACTCAACACGTTGGACTACGGAGGAGTCCCGCCTTCCTCCGCAACCTTGGCACTAGCTTCCTAAGCTATAGACATATAGACGCCATCTTTGGCGGTGAAGCGTTCGTCAATGTCGCTGCCATATTGAATGTGTCAATAAATTTGGAAATGTCCATTTGTCCTCCCGACTAGTTAGACAATTCCGCGCACTTGTACAGGACTTGTCAATGCTTTTGCACAAAGTATTACCATTAAAAATACGGGGTTTTTTTTTTGTTATTCATTCTCACAATGGCCCCGAACATGGAATTAGATTTTCCAAATAAATATTTACATTTCCACTCATTTTCTCGATATTAATAATAAATGGCCAACATTTGTTGCTAATTCATATATGTTTAATTGGTGACAACTGTTAAAAATGTCGGTACGTTCTGCACAATTTATTGACTTGCAAAGTGCAGAACTGCAAAATGTTTCGGATGCAGGTATAATATTTGACAAAACAGTGGTTTCTTTCGCCATCTAGTGGCGGACAAGTGTCAGCAACACAAACCTGTGGCCACTTCCTCTGGTAGCAGCTTTTAATTCATGCCATTTGCGGACAGGTCTCGACGTCATACGTGTACTGCAAGGTTCTGGAATTTAATTATGATCCATTTATAACAAGATCGCGTGTTAAGTCATTCGCGTTGATACTTGCCGGGGTGACATTGGAGTCAAAACGGCGGGATTAGCGGTCAAAACTTTTGATTAATATATCCCCCGACATCTTGCAGATGATACGAAAGATCCCTTATTTGTCTCGCTATATGACATGTTTGTTCCATTTTTACTCACGTAATCCAATTTGGGCATGACGGCTCGACAACCTCCCATTTTAAATTTAAAGAGGTTGTAAATCTCTTCCGGGTGGCCCAGAGACTTGAGGACGTCCATGCTGCCTCCTTAATCGGACACTAGGAAGCGTAACAAAATGCTCGTGGATGCTCTCCATCCACGAGAAATAAAAAATAAAGATACTCGGAGCAATATAGGAAGACCGGGGTGCACTTTCAGTCTGCAGGCTGAGGCCAGATCGACTCACGACTCCGATTGGCTGACATCGCATGGGCTCAGGAGACAGTGACCAATGAACGAGCAGAGCGGCTGGTGTGATGTCCCGCCTACCATACGTCACTGCAGTTTGGCTTTCCATTGGTTCTTTATTCATTCATCGTCTCAAGTGTAATCCAGCCTCTGGCAAACCATTGAATGCAGATGAAACTCGCTGGAAATATACATCGTTTTATATACGAGACTGCGATTGGTCCATTTGTGAACGGAACGCCCATGTGTTTGGATATTTGAATATCAATCCATCCATTTTCTATGTATTGAATTGAATTGAATACAACTTTATGCCAACTCCACACAGGAAGGCCGGAGCTGGAATCGAACCCGACACATTTGCACTGTGAGGCGGACATGCCAACGAGTGTCCACCGTGCCGCCCTACATTACATACATGCTAACGACTAGGATCGAAATGAAAACGTTGAAAACCAACGACTTGACTGAAACTGGAGATCGCCTTGCCTTTATTAAACATGAATGACGCCACATGTCAACTCCACACATTTTCATTGTGACCCGCTGTGTGTGACATTGCAGCCACAAAGAGAAGTTAGAATAGGTAGTCTCGATTTAGTGCATCCAAGTCCATCTTCTGCGTTTTTGCAATATAGCCCAAATGGTGATTTTATACATATATATAAAAATTGGAGTGCAGAGCCCTTAAATACATGTAAATAAAAGTTGCCGCTTTTGGGTTAATTACATGCAGCAGTAATATAGTATACCACATTTACACACTTGCCACAAAAAAAAAAAAAAAATACTGTACAGTCATTATACACAATGAGACCTTGAGTTTACCGAGCTGCATAACAATTAACTGATTACAGTTGCTATATTGTGCCGTTGGAAAGAAATCCAACCATAGAACAGGATTCCGAAAGAGAGAGAGAGAACCTAATTTTCGCTTGAGAAATGAGTGGACAATGACACAAAGGGCTCTGTTTTCGTGCCCGGCGCACGTCAAACGCAAAGCGACGTCCAGTTGGGCTCTTGGGTGGAGTTTTCATTCTTTGAATCAAGCATCCCATAACTGTGTCACAGCCAAGGGGGGTGCTTTCAAAAACATATTCAAGATGATAATAATCATAATGCATTCAATGAATTGATTTCTACAATGATACAGAGGTTTTGATGCACACTGTTGTGACATTTATGAATGAAATATGACAACATCCACCATACATACCCGCGGAGCTCAGAATCTGTCTGCCTGCACCTCGATCAAATCCGCTAAAATCACATTACTCCACCTGTGCCGCAACTTAGACCTGCTTTCAGCTGGTCTAATAACACTGGTCAACACATCTTTACAAAATATTTTTATCTGAGATGCAAGTAAACTGTGTTAGATAAAGTATTTGCGCTGATTCCAAATCTGCCCTAGTTTTTTCTGTAGCACTTCAGATTTTCATAATAATAATAATAATAATGATAACAATAATAGCAATAATCTAATATTTACTATATTAATATATGTAGTAATATTTATAATTTAAGGGTTAAGTTTAGTTTATTTTGCGAAACGTCCTAGCCATAAAAAAACAATGCATTGTAAAATCAGCTTTTACAGGTAAAAGGAAAAAATGAAAATGGGGAAAAAAAAAATCGTAAAATTCTGAATTGCAAGAGGAAAAAAAAATGTAACGACATTTTTGAAATCAACATCAACAACACGGTCAGGGACAGCAAATTATAGTACAGTATATTAAAGAAAACTTAGTCAGTCCGCTTGCGCTGTCTACGAAAATAGAGCCCAAAATTTAAGCACATGAAACTTTTGGGTCAAAATCTACAAAATATGTTGGCAATTTCGTTTTGTTACTTTGTGTCATTTCTCCATCCAAAAATTCACTTTTTAAAAAATCTGAATGGTTGGCTCATAATTTTTGGATCTTAACCAAACATCCACAAACATGGCAGACACAATGATAAAAAAAAAAAAATGCTCTCATTTTAAAAGGTTTGAAGGTAATATATCCTGTGACTAAAAATTCCAAAGTTACCCTGAAATGTTGCAACTTTTCAACGTATGACATTCGGCATGTGCGACGTTGATTGAGCAGATGCGTCAATACTGACCTGGAAATTTAACTCTGACCTGTTTATTGCGTCACCGACTGAATTGGACATGAAGCCTTGTGTTTCCATCAACTGTCAAAACGCCGTTCTCAAATCAAAACCCTCCTCACTTGGAAGAACCTTGTCACAGTGCTGGTCTTTGACGCTCCGCCTCTTTCAGTCCACGCCCATTTTTCTTTCTAAGCTAGGATGAGGTTGTTCCATGGCTCGGCTTTTGAGCCCGAAGAGCCTCCGTGGCCCCCAGGGGACATCTTCAGAGCGAGGGTCCCGCCTTGAGCCGTCATGTAGGCGGGCAGAGCTGAGATCTGGTGTCAAAAAAGTAGATTAAAAACATGGCACTAAATATCAATACAACTGCTCAATTTGTTTGTACCTGCGTGTGTGTGCCGTTGTGTGCGTATAAATTGAGAGTGTCCGGTTCTGTCTTTATCTGCCGGGTCTCCTCGGACATGGAGGATGTGCCCAAAGAGGAGGAGGAGGAAGAGGAAGAGGAGGCGGGGCCCCGGGGAGTGCTGCTTGGTGTCATCGGAGTCCCCTCGTTGTTTAGAGGCCCTGTGGTACACCACAAGGAGGTGTGTTGTACAAACAATGACATACAGTAGGAAACTCCTTTATGGGACATCAGCCGCAAGGGGGAAAAAAACTCAGCCTTTTAGGAACGTGTGAACGGTGGCAACTTTCACACCACAACACAGCATCCCGCAATTTGATCATTTCGATGCGTGATAACATCACCACATTTTAAAACACTTGTCAGACATTTGCTTTCACCAGGCGTCAGTATCATAAATTTAACTACCACATATGGACCTTCATTATCTTCAAAAGGGCTACCCTGGGATTCAAATTAATAGAAATAATCATCATTTGAAGCTAACCAGTTTGGCTCTTGTTCAGGTTCTTGGGTTTGCGCTTGCGGGTCTGGATGCCCTCTTTTTTCATGGCGAGAGGCCGCGGGACCTGTGGAAAAACGAAGTGATTTTGCCTGCCCAGTTATATCCAAACATCATAATAAACACGTGTAGCATGTTCTTTTGGTTTAGGTTTTTCTTTTTACCCCATGCAGTTTCATGTAGAGGCCGCAGGCGTTGCACACGGGCTCCCCCTCAGCATTTCGTCGCCACAGGGTTGTGGTGGTGGTGTGACAGTTGGTGCAGGACAGGCCCACCCTCCGGGAGGCCGACTGGTGGACACAGACATAGGTGGGAGATCAGTGGCGTGGGTAACGGATTTTTGGCTCTTATTTGGCTAACTGCGAACCAGTCTTCGTTTCATTTCCTCAAAGTGATGTTGTCTGATAGCCTTTATTCTTCACGGCAAGAGAGTGAGAAAAGGCGCTAAGGAGTGTGTTTTAATTAATTTAAAATGTGTTTAATGTGGCTCTCGGATCAGAGTCGCCTATCCCTGAGGTACACCATAGTGTTCTGTTGACTCGTTTGCAGCACCATGTGGGCATTAGTGGTAGCGCTCTAGAGTGGTTTCGATGCAATTTTGCAGAAATCATTTTTTGTGTTTGCCTTGGTTACTCTGAGTTCCGTCCGCTCTGCCCCACTGTCATATGGTGTTCCACAAAGTTCACTTTCGGAACCCCTGCCCTTTTCATTGTATTCTATTGTTTTTGACCCAGCATAAGACTCTGCATTGTGTCAGTGTTTTATGGTGTTTACTGTTGTTATTTTATTCATTTATTGTTTTACCTGGCTTTGTATGTCGGATTTTTACTGCATACACGGCGATGGTTGTTTTTAAAGTGTTTTATGAATAAAATTGAGGTGAGTTGAGCATTGATAAAAATTTACATATATGTTTGGTGCCAAGAAAAATAAAGCAATCGTTTCACCCACTAGTCGCCTTTGGGGCTTGATTAGAGGTCTGTTGATGCCATTCATCTTGTGGTAAAGCCCGCAGGCATTGCACAGGTAGTGGCCCGTGCCGTCCCGCCTCCACAGCGGCGTGGACATGGCCCCACAGTTGACGCACTCTCGGCCCTCTGCGAAGTCATCAAAAAGGTCTGTGGACGCACAAAGACAGGCACGCATACAATGAGTGACAGGATACGCATCCATCTTCAACTGTGAATGACTGTCATCCATTACAATCCATAATAGGGGCTTTCACGAAGGTGGAAGGAATTATTCAGCGTTCCGAATAGCAGTCAGTGTTCGCAAAACCTTCAGGGTTCTGCTAGAAAGGCAAACAAGAAGTCACAAAAAGCCTTCTAGAACAGCTCATATTTATTTGAGGTTAATCAGAGGCACTTGATGGCCGTTTTATGTCAGACTTCCTTTTAACATGGGTTTGAATGTGATTAGTTAATTCACATCCCAGATGATGAGGGTGTGCACACTTCTACAACCGCATTATTTCAGTTGTCCGTTTTTCCTTCCCTTTGCAAAAAGATGTCATGTTTTTCATTGGCGTGACACAGGTGTTAACTGTTGTATCCTTCCCACCCCAAAAAGTGGTAATGTGTTTTAAGAAGGAACACAGCACTTTATATTTACTTTGTGAAACATAAAGTAACAATAAAAAAAGTAAAGAATTAGTTAATTGCCGCACCCTCAGGTATGCGTAACTTGACCACAAGAGGGCAGTGCAATACAATCATGAAGACAAACGAAGACGAATTTGACAACTACTAGAAGTGACTCAGGAAATTGTAGTAATATTTTCATGTTTGGTAGAAGATAAAGAATATTTGTGAGCGTTGTTATATTGTCTTTGTTGATGCAGCGTGTGTACAAATATAACAGCGCACATAGACGCCACTTGTTAGCCAGTCTATGGTGGTTTGCATTGTGTGTTAGCATTAAGCTATCTGAAGGCAGAGTTGAGTGGCTATTTTGTGAATACAAACGTTTCATGTTTAGTTTGGCAGTAAAGTTCAAGTGGGATTGTCAATAAACAGCTTGAAAACTCTTTTGGAAGAACAGGTTACTCTCTGCCAAACTGCTGCTGGTTGTCAAATGAGTTGCGTTCACTGCCACCATACGGCGTACAAATGTACACTCATCGGTTTGAGTTCCGTTGCATTTAGGATGGCAACTTTCTTTTTTTTTATTTTTTATTACATTTTAAAATTAAGCACCGTGGTGACCAGTGAAGGACTTTTATCTTTGTTGTGATGATTACATTTTTGTCATTCTCTTGACATTTTTTACAACCAAAACAAATGTTTTTTTTTAGGGGGAGGGGTTAAATATAGATTAACTTCTAGAAGAAAGACGCATCAACCTTCAACCCTTGCTTGTGTGTACGGTGGATGTGTGCACCAGCAGCAGCAACAGCAGGAGGTGCAGGCCCCATTGCTTATCGGGCTGCACCCCCCCCCCACACCCCCCCACCTCCAAGAAGATAAAGAACGGGCTCGAAATAGAGACGCAAAAGAAGCTTCATCACGTACAGAGGCATTTACAGACTCTGGGTCCGAGGCCGTTTCTCGCACAGATAACGTGAGGTCTGACCACCTGCACAAGCACTTTAATAGGGGCCCAGAAGATGAACACATGAGCATCATAAATCCAAATTAATGTGTAGTAACTTCTTTTTTTTTCACCGTGCCGTACTGTTAATCTTGTGATGCAGCGAGATCTCATCCAAGGCTGAGAGCAAAACAAAGACAAGCAAAGGAAGCTAACCTTGAGTGCGGAAGCTAATGTAGCCAACACATCAACACAAGACAATACACTTGTTGCGCTAATGTGTCATGTAGAAATGTCAGCGTGTCTCCTTATCTTGCCCGTCCATTTAAAAACACACTTTTAGTACCCGACGAGGGCAAAGGTGAAAGCAGGAAAAATCAACCGTGAAGTTATCCAAATGCGTATTACATCATATAAAAAGTTCCGCAATTTCAGTGTAGTTATAGTCCTCATTTAAAAAGTGGGATGTATTGTCGAAAACGCAATTTTCCAGATTCTGTTTCTTTAATCAGATTGAAATTGATGTGATTTTTTAAAATTTTTTTTTAAGAGGCCATTTCAGGAGTGTCGTGTGAGTGAAACCATCAGGTTACAGGTCAGATTGGATCAATTTTCTTATCTCTTGAACACAACGCAGTTCCACGAGGAACATTGAAAGAAAGCACAGTGAATACTAAATCCTGTGGTCGGGCATATATAACATGAAGTGGAATTAGTCGATGCCAGAATGATATCATTTAATGGCTGCCACACAGTATTTTAAATCATACACAAGACGTCGACAATAAATAGAGACTCATGAAAAAACAAAGGATAGGCCCGAATCATGTTTTGTGGTGAGAGAGAATTTGTTGGCTCTGAGTATGACCAAAATGGGAAGGTATCATTAAATGTACAGTCCATGATGGAAAGTCTTGAATAAATCAATTAAATTATGTGGCAAAAATTATTAATCAGTTGACATTAAGATCCGAATGAATACTTCACTTTGAACCGTTGGTTTAAGATACTGGACTTGAAACGAAATGTCATATTTTTTTTCCCCCATATTAAATGCACCTTAAAAATCATGTTATGAAGTTCTTCATTGAATTTTTTTAAATGCAAATAAGAAAGTGCAATATTTTGTAATAATTGCCATAAATCAAATTTATAAAAAAATAAATAATGCTGTGAATAACTACCATGTGATTTATTTTTAAGTGCGGTATTCTGAAAAAAAAAAAAAAGTATATTTTACGTTTTCATAAAGGGCAATATAAATCAAAATGTAGCCGTTCGGCCTGTGCAGGATTTAGCTCGCTCACGTTTGGGAATCGGGTTTTAGTTGGAGTACAGTACTGTTAAAAGTGAAATAAATTAAAAGAAATGCCACGCACGGACACTTTAAGATGTTACGTTACTTTTGTCCTTCTTTTTTGGGGGGCAAAACGTGTTTTCTTTTGTGACAAGTATAAATTAAATCCTTATTAAAACAATTGAAAATATACGCGTGCCTTTTTGACTTTGAAAAAAAAATGCAATTCCAATTTTTCTTGCACCGTATTCCTGAAAATAACCGTTCGCACTTTCTTTTGCCCATCAACATTTTTCCACTTTTTGTGACGACAAAACTTTCATCCAAAATAAATACACCGATAAAACAGTCATTTCATGCCTACATCCATGCTCACCTATATTCGGATGTCGCGTCCCGCCAGTTGGAGCACCTGCCTGGAGGCCGTGAAGCACCGGACTCTCGAAGGGCGACGCAGACCACGTTCCGCCCACGTTGGTGCTCATATACGCCGGGTAAGGGCTGTGGTAGGAGCCGCCGAGCCCCCGGGCGCCGTAGTGCTCTCGCCCGTTAGCAGAGATGCTCAGCGTGCTACCGTACGAGGAGGCGGCCGCCGCCGCGGCAGCAGCCGCCGCCGCCGCCGCCGCTTGGTCCTTCGCCCCGACGGAGGAGAGAGGCGGGCTCGCGGAGAAGCTGAACCGCGGTGACACCGACGAGTGGTTGTACGAGGACTCGACGCCCGGTTGAGCCCAGCCGGAGTGGCTGGACGCCGGCGTGCCCGGCTGCGACGCGCCGGGTGACTGGAGGTAGGGCAGGCCGGGAATCATCTGCGTGACCACCCGGGTGGTCGGCACGTAAACCGGCGACGTGGCCGACGAGCTGTTGTGGAGGAAGCCGGCCTCGTAAGATGGATGTCCGTGGTTGGTGGTCATGATTCCCTGGTACATATCCTCTCCTGGAAGCTGCACATCCGACTCACCGGAATTAATGCGAATTTAGGTGCACTTGTGCGAGAAATAATGATCTCACTTAAAAAATATATATATTGATAATGTGATTTAAAGCGTGCACATCACGTCTACGTGCAAAAGAGAGAAGCTGCTGTTCCTGCTGTCCGGTCAACCACAGTGCGATTGAATCTTATCAAATTAAGAACTGGGGAAGGGAGAGAGAAGAGGAGGAGTGAAGAGAGACTTACCTCGATCAAGATCTCTGGCGCTCTCTCTTTCTCGGCCTTGCCCCTCTCAAAAACATGCGCAAATTGCAACGTTGCCTTGTCATTTTGAGTCACTTAGGAGGTGTCATGTAAGAAAAATGTAAGAAGTTGGTGAAAATGTCGTTTAATTAGTCGAGGCCACATCGCACAATTCACACTGACGGGAAATATTGACACATCATTATCATAAATACATAATTAATTATTCATGAGTTCAATCGAACAGCGTGTTCGTAATATTATTTTTAGCTCACAAAATACAAATACGAGATGATAAATGACAAATTAAAGTTGTTTTTTTTCCGCTATGGACAAAAACAACTGACTTCCGTTTTATGTTTTTTTTTCAGATGCTAAACGTTCATTTGAAAAAGTCTTATATTGTTTCGCCCCCCACCCCCCGAAAACAACACAGCGATGACTGTCGCTGTTATTGAAGTCATCTTTGAAATAAAAACAATAAAGCCTTACTGTAAATCTTTTTGAAATTAGTGCTACAGTCAGACATGATGTTGCCAGTGTTTACACTGTCATATCTTCTTCAAATACATTTCTAATAAACCGGCCTGTGCTTTCGATTGACTTCATGATCAACATTAGACGGCTGTTTTTAATTTTGACTCCTCATTTTTTTTAAAGGTGTGAGACAGAAATAATGTAAATTAAAAAATAAAATGCGTTTGGTCCAATTTTGCTATCTATCTATCTATCTATCTATCTATCTATCTATCTATCTATCTATCTATCTATCTATCTATCTATCCATCCATCCATCTATCCTCGGCCCACAGAGTGCAGGTGGACGCAAATAAAGCAAGATTGCCTCCCTGGAAATGGGGAACTGTCATCAATGTGTAACCGCATACACACTGATAAGCTCGCTAATAATATTAAGGTGTGGCCGGCTGCAGGAGTCTTGAAGAGTCCTCCAATAATTAAAGAAAACAAATACTCCTCCTCGCCTCCCACCCCCCGCCCCCTACCACATGAGAAGGCCTTTGCGATTCCAATCGGAGCTTCTCCTCAGTGCTACTTTCACACAACCTGACCTGCATAGAAAGAAAGGGGGTGAAAAGTTTATAAAAATAAGACTTTTTCTGTTACTGTACAGTACATTGTGTGTTTGCACACGCCACGTCGTATCACTGACACAGGCCAGAGCACACTAAGAAAGCGTGTGTGTGTGTGTGTGTGTGCGTGTGTGTGTGTGTGTGCGCGCGCGCGCGGGTGTTTTGACAAGAGGCTTTCCAATGAGTTTGCTGCGTATGACTGAGAAGGTGTCAGCAGGAGATGCTGTAGGTCTCAATCCAACTTTCTCCTTCCCAATTAATTCGACTCACCACAAATTACTCCAATTACGAGTACAATCCAAGTACATCTTTTACTCAACGTAATTATTTCAACTGCGTAATTCACAGAATTACGCAGTTGAAATAAATGTCACTCATTTCGGTGTGTGTAAAAGTGCAATGCAAAGAGTTGGGAAGGTTTACGGCATGGTTGTCATGACTACCATAATAACAGGGAACAAAAATGAACCATAAATGACCCATAGAGGAAATAATGTTCATCTTATTAATAATCTTCCGCCATGAGAACGAATTTATGGCACGCCCTGGCAACGTATGAAGTAACAATTTGAATTCTTTCCTGTGACACAAGTGTAAACAACGATAGTAGTAAAATGAGACGAAGTGTCGTAAAGGTTAAATTCCGTTTTGGCGTGAACGAACCTTGAGGACGTCTGACTCCAATTTGTTTCGATGTTCGCCTTATTGTACTGAGCAGCCGGGACCGGAGAAGCATCGACCACTTTCTTTTATGGCCATACATTTATGACATGTTTCTAATTTGCCATCACTTGGTTTGTTATGTACCACCAAATCAGACAAAGAAAAATCATACAACACATCCATCTTGCCATTTTTTAGATCGTTTGTCATCATTGGGGTTGACTTTCGTCCAATCAGATTTCATCCTCTGTGTTGCTATGCCAATCTAATCTGTCCAGGCCCTTTCAGAGTCAGTAGTACAACATAAAGTATATCAGCAATGTTTTTTTTTTTTTTTTGGTTTGTTGTTTTCCATCCATAGTATTGAGGCTTTGTGTGATTGTGACACCTTTATGACAAAAAAAAAAAAAAATCATCGAAGAATCTCAGAAGGATGTTTTGAAATTGTGGGCGGAAACCCTGACTGGGGCGAACTCCAAGTTACACACGGAAAAAGCTCCTCCCACTTCGCAGTTACATTCATGGTTAATTAATCTTTTTTTTTTGGGGGGGGGGGTTGTTGTTAAGTGACATCCTTTTAGGGTCAAGGTATGTCAATGAAGCTAAGCGTTCAGGAAATGCAAGTCACAAGAAATGTGAAGCAGGCACCAGGAAAACTGTCCCCGTCTTGGCTGGGCCAGAGTCTCAATCATGTGGGGGTCAGTGACACACACACACACACACACACACACACACACACACACACACACACACACACACACACACACACAGGGTATGGTAGACTCAAGGCTCCAGGAAGAAGACATCACACGGTGACGCAGGAAAGGCCAGCAGCCCGAGGACGCCGCTAAAGCGACGTGGAGACACCAACGTGTCTCTTGCCCATTCGCTGCATCAGCAAAAATCCTTTTTTTTTATTTTTTTTTTAAAAACCTGTTATCTTTTTTTTTTTTTACATCATCTTCTTTCTACTGCTGATCTCACCCATTTTGCTCGCACTAATCTGATCAGAGCAATCACCGGCACGCCGCTCAGGTGTTAATGATGAAACAGTGCTAATCAATATTAACTTAAAGTGTGAGTGTGTGTGTGCGCTCATATAGACGTCCAGTTTCCATGTGACTCATTGATGACCCACCCGCTCAACTTTGACACTACAACCCAAGCGCAAAACAACAAACTTCCATTGTGTTAATGTTGTCCTAAATCCAAATTAGTTTTTTTTTGTGTTTTTTTTGCTCTTGTACTTATAATTTCATCAATGAAGCTAAGTTCAATGACTTCATGGGAAGTGAAGCGTGAGCTCATATTGCACCAATTGTTTAAATCTTTACATTTAATTTCCTTAATGGTGTGCTATTGTTAAAGAGGCCTACAATAGTGCTAAAAAAAAACAAAAACACAACAGATGATCAAATGATCATTTAATATGATCATGATTAGATCACACAGGTGTCCCTAATGCCGCGTCCGCTCAGCGTGCCTCAGTTATTCGGCAGTATCTTTGTGTTATGCTTGCGGATTAAGCCTGTTTGACCAGGTAAGGTCACAAAGTCACGCAGGCGAGACGCAGATTCTCTCTCTTTCCTAACCGACGCGCACCTAGACACAGCCGACGTGTGTTTCTGAAGCAATAATTAACCCGTCGGTTCTCATTTGTGATGGCGTCGAGTGGTGAAGCGGACTGTTTGAAGAGCGGCTCAAACGTGCCGCGCCGGTCGACTTTTAAATTGTAATATCAACACTGAACATGAGATGGCAGACATCAATCGATCAAACATGTCGATGGGTCTTCTCCTGCTGTGTACAGTGGTACCTCTACTTACGAAAGTAATTGGTCCTGGAAGAAATGTCTTAACTAGAAAAGTTTGTAAGTAGAGACGCATTTTCCATGTAAATGCCCTAATCCGTTCCAAGCACCCCCAAAATTCAGACATAAATGTTTTCTGAAGCATAAAAATGCATCAAAATATGTAACAAATACATGTCACATTTAGATTACTGCACAATAAATGAGAGTTGTGCATCATGTAAAAAACAAAGAATCGAGTGAAGAATAAAAATGATGGTCATTTAACTTTTAACTGCGTTCTCATCGTTTTTTTGCCCTCTTTAGTTCATGTTCTCTCTCAGAAGTGGTTTTTGACTGGCGTTTGGTCAAGAACTGATCCAAGGACGTTTGCTTTTGTTGGCTTTTAACAATCCTTCGAAAACATCCAAGGCAAACATCAGCCTAGTGAGCGATCGCATGATTGATGAACACTTTTTTCTGGGCGATTCACATTTACGTAAAACTATTTGAACGTCTCATGGCCCCACGAGGACGCTGCACAGACACATATCTATAGACACATACGGTAGAGGTCCCTCTTAGCCAATGGGATGCCAGGAAGATGCTAGGTCACAGCCAATGGCAGAGCAGCTATTAGTATGTTGCGTTCAGGAAACTCGGAGCTTTGAGTAGCAACCCATACTGTATTTTTACCTTTCTTAGGCAATATTTTCATGTTGAGGTCTTTCGTAACTTCTAAATTTCATATGAAGAGACGTTCGTAAGTAGAGGTACCACTGTATTAAAACACGAGTAAGCCTTTTTTTGTTCATGGATTTGAAATGGCATGCACAAAGATAGCAACTCAATTAATACTTTTGAGTGACTTGATTTTTTTGTGTGAAGAAAATGCACAAAATGAGTTCTTGCGCTTCATGTCGGGTTGCTGTTCACCAGTTTTGTGCCGTCCGTTTTTATGCAAGAGAGCAATGGAACCACAACAAGCATACAGTATGTGGTTTATTTTCTTGTTTCCTTCAAACTATTCGTTGTTGGGTAAGGGATCGTGGACCTTTTATCCATGCACTGAAAAATAGATTCTCAAACATGAAAAATATTAAAAGCACATATTTTGCAAATATGATGACATTTTGTCCACATTCAAAATAGCCTTTACGTCATACAAGTTGTTCAGTGGTCATTTGTTGCCCCCCCCCCCCCTTATTGATGACAAATGGTCTCCCCCTCCAGAATTTAAGTTTTCCATACCCTGCTCTAGGATTTATTTTTCACTTTTACTTACTACGAGACATTTTTTTTTTTCTGTATTCGCTTGATACTCTAATTGAGGCCCTTGTTGCATTTAAAGCTGTTTTGGTGAACCGGTGTGTATTTTTAGCAGGACAAAAACGTACACGGGGCTCCCAGGTCCTCTCCTGTAGATAAGCGGCAGCCAAAGTCCGCTCGCAAGCCAAGGCCTGAGGAACAAACAGGGAACGCACATACACGTACGCATTACGAACAGACGAAGGCCACGTCCGCACGGAAACCAGTTGAAGTGCGACTGCAAAGGTATTTATTTTCATCCTTTTGGGAGCCCGAATATGATCATTTCTTTTAAACGGGTCCCATCAGAAAATGATTTCCTCACATTTATGCTATTATGTGCTAAAACTGGCAACAACAAGGCAGAAGATTCCTGAGCATGGCACCGCGTTGACAGCAAAGTCAGCAACAAATGAAGAAAAAAAAAAAAAAAACGACTTTGGCTGTGTTTCCATGTGACCCAACAAATGGCGTTTTGCAGGATAAGGTAACAGACCGAGGGAAGGCCCTTTATTACGGCGAATGTCAGGTTAGCGAAGGGTGAGATGACATCGTCACGACAATAGGATCCGCAAAGGGGTCGCTCAGAGTTCAGCAGGTGAGGTTAAAGTAAGTGTCAAGATGGCGTTTGCCCAAAACGACGCCGATTTGCTGCCAGTCAAGATCTGCCCCCCCACCCCCAACCCCAACCCATCACCCCATCGCCCCTCCCCCTTCTCGACAAATGAGGAAGCAAGAGGAGAAAAAGCGTCTCCATCCAGGGACTGTCAAAACACGAATAGTCGATAACCCCGGCAATATTCCTGTTTGGACAAAAAGAGGAGGGGGTGGGGGGGGGCACAGCAGATGGAATGGAAAGGGTTTGAGAAAGAGAGAGCGAACAAAGAGGAGGACAGCGAAGATGCCGGCAGACAGGAGGAGCTGTGGAAAACAAAAGAGGCTCCATTCTCGGCCCGCTCTTATCTGTCTCAGGGTCTTATCCACCGCCGGGCTCTGTTAGTGTAACCCCAATTCCCTCCCTCCCCTCTTCTCCTTCCACCTCATCCCTCGAACCAAACTCCCAAAAAAATACAAACGCGCAGCCCTTTTTGGCCGCAGCCTGCGGCGGACCCCCGTTATCAGCGCGGCGCTGACGTCATGGGGGCCCGCCGGTGCTGGGGCCGGAGACAGAGGCCTGATAGCGCCGCAGGGGCTGCCTCCGCGCTGGCTGTGGGAACCG